CCCGCCGTGTCCGGCCGCCGGGAGCACCGTTCAGACAGGGAGCACCCGAACGGTGTCCCCGCTCCCGGCTGCCCAGCGGGGCCTGCCGACGTGTGACCGCTCCCCGGTGCCCGGGCTGCCTGGGATCGCCTGTTGGGCCCTGATGGGCTTTTTTTCTCCAGCTTGGTGCATTAGAACGGGATGTTCCCAAGGCAAATCCCAGCCTTCTTAGCATCAAGTCCTTGCTAGCCCAAATGCTGCGTTTGTTCTCTGTATCTGTTTGAAGCAGCATTGCGTGCGTCCTGGCTTTGTAACGCGTGTCCATATACCTCCTAATAAAAAGAAAAAGCAAGTGGGTGAAGCCTGTCCCAGCAGCTCTTTCACGGAGACTGGGGAGTTGTAGTTTGTGCCGTTTGTGTAAGTCACTGAGCTGCTTGGGAAGCCCTGTAGTGTTATACATGATTTATATTTTTAATTTCTAGACTGTTGGGTTAATTTGAATATGTTTTTTGTGTCTGTACATTTCCCTGCTTGTGATTAAACAGCATGAGTAAGTGCAGCGTGGTTTGAAGTTTGCATATGATGAGCTCATGTAATTGAAAGGTCTGAAAGAAGCTGAGCTCTTTAATGGTGGCTTGTTCTGTCAGTGCAGATGGTAGCGACGTTGGTTGTCCTCTGCAGGTCCACCTGTACCTTAGTGTTCAGAGGTACAGCCCCACTTTCAGCCAGTTTTTAAGGAGAGCTCAGGGTGTGAGATGGTCACAGGGTCGGGGAGGTGTGGACAGCCTCTCTAAACCCCAGGTAGCTGCTGCACAGGATTACCCTTGCTGCGTGTCAGCAAAAAAACTTTGCTGAAAGCAGCTCTTGAGAAGGATGGAGGCAAATGCTGTTTCTCAATTGCCAGGTTGCTTGTGCTTAGAAGACTTGTAGCAAAACGGGTGGAATTTTGCCTGAAGAGGGAAGGAACAATTTTGCTGAGTTTCTAAAGGCATGCTTAGTTGCTGCCCTTCCTGAAGATTTTTTTTTATTATTGTTATTAAAAAATATCAAGTTGTGTGGTTTAAGAGGTGAATTTTAAAAGCCTTTGCTCGAGAGCTGTGATTTGATTTATGTAACCTCAGAAAACTTGTGAGCGTAGACCTGGCTGAGCCCTGTTCAGCCCACATGAAGCCTTTTGTCTTGCATATCTTGCAAAACTTGGAAGTGCATGGAAATGCTTTCAGTAGTTCAAGGAGCAGGTCGCTGAGAACTTAGACTGTCTGGAAAGACTAGAAAGTTTATCTCACTGCCTTGATACCACTTGAGAACTGAAACAAACTATATACAGGAGTTAAACTCAGTGAGCAGTTTCGGTCCCCTCCCGCTGGCAGATCCAGGCACACTGTAGTGCAGGCATGAAAAAACCCCATTCAATTGTGTGATGTTATTTTTTGTTTTGCTTGGGTAACCTTGGGTGCTACTGATAGCACATGGAAGGAGTTTGATAGCGAGGCCCAACCTTTTGTAATCTGGTGAGTCCAATTTACAAAATCCCTGCGACGTGTGTTGTTAATTCTGGAAAAGACTAAAGGCAAGCAGTTCGTTATTTTGCTGGGCCTGTGTACAGAATTTCACAACTATTGACAGCCTGAAACCACAGATCAGTTTTTCAGGATGAGCACTTTCAGTCAACCCTTGGTTGTCTTCAGTTAGTAGTCCCCCTTTGGGGGTGCATGGGCTTTAGGAGATAACACTGAAAAGCACCTTTGCATTCTTGAAGTGCTTTTTTTTTGGGTGCTTTTAAAGGTCCTGTGCTCTAGGCTATTGATCTTACCTCTCACTCTGTCCTACTTTTAGAGGGGTAAATGTATCTTAAAGAGCTTGAGTGCCATGACAGGGACACAGGTTAACAAACAGAAAGCAGTCATCCTTCAGCCGAAGGGGGAGGTTTCTGAGTTTCATTGTGTGTGATGTACAGTGACCCTTTCCCCAGCAGATAAGACCGTGGGTGCTCACATTTGGTCACTAAGAGGTCACTGGTGGCGGATGACATGTTTTGCTTGCCCTGGTTTTGTGTTTTCTGTGTTGATATCAAAGTCAGCCTGATGTTTTTTCCTCTCTATGTGTGGTTTTAGATTTCTGATACACTGAAGCGGTTTGCGGTAAAAGTAACCACAGCCAGTGTGAAGGAACGGAGAGAGATCCTCAGTGAGCTGGGAAAATGCATTTCTGGGAAAGGTAAAAGCTTTGGGATGCTGTTCTGGTTACCACGTTGGAGAAGAATGTTAAAATATTTTGTTTCAAAGGCTGTGTGAAACTTGTGGGTAGTTTTTTGAAGCAGGGGGCTGGCAGCGTTTGGAGTTTGTACTTTCTCACAGTATTAATTCTAAGCGTGGGTTTTGTAGATAACACAGAACTCTGGTTACTAGCATGTGTGCTTTTCCAGTTAGTAGAACATCTATATACGTAGAGAGAGAGAGAGTATGGAAGATTTTAGATAGTCTTAATAAAACAGTTGAAACAAAATTTAAAAAATCTTTTTGATTTCACTCATTTTCTGAAGACGACTGTGGAATAGCATGTGTTCCAATTTTGCCCTTATTTCTAAAAAAATGCATAAAATGTATATCAGAGAGAACTCTGTGATCCTTGCAAACAATTTCACAGGTTTATAAAGGTCTGTTATCAGTTCACTGATTTCAGTTGTGAAGTGTTAAAGGTTAAGGGTTCAGTGATTTATGAAGAAATATTTTGAAATACAATCTGTTACAGATCTTCCAGAGGGTGCAGTGAAAGGCCTTTGCAAACTCTTCTGCCTTACCCTGCATCGATACCGGTGAGTAAATTGATGTAGGAAGGCTGTATTATTTTATCTCTCAGTATTTATGTATTTATTAGTTAAACCAGTATGGAGCATCTGGAAATGTTAGCATGCAGTGTCACATAGACGTGTATGACACTGAAAGATGCCATCTAGTAACTAGGCTCTCAAGTGATGTTTGACATTAAAAAGTTTTACAATGCTTACCTTGTGTTTCACTTTCAAATTGAAATCAAATCTTGGCATCCTGTGGTTCAGTCTGCAAGAATAAATGCCTGTGTCCTTGTGAAGTAATTCTAAGGTGTTTTTTAGATATCTTTTCAGCACTTTTATATTGGATTACGTTGTGGCCTGTTATAGAGAAGCTATTCAGAACCTGTGTTCTCTTCTGCAACCTGCTTTGACATAGCCTTGACATAACTTCTGTCAGCTGAAGAAGGGAATGGAACTTTTTGCCAGAAACTTCTCCTCTTCTTGGAACAGCAAGGATAAAATAACGATTAGCTGAAATGAGAAAGCAGAGCCTTTTGTGTGGTGTAAGTGTAGTAATGTGTAATGTTGGCAGGATTTATAACATTCACGGAGATATATTTTTCATTCTAGCGATGCAGCATCCCGCAGAGCCCTGCAGCTGGCACTTCAGCAGCTTGCAGAATCCCAGCCAGATGCAACAGCAAAAAACCTTCTGCACTCACTTCAGTCTTCAGGGATCAGTGGCAAGGCTGGAGTTCCCAGGTGCTGGATAAGTTGCTTTGTGTGGAAGCAGTTCTGAGTTGCTAGTAGTTGCTCTTGTGTTCAGAATGATTCATCTGCTGCTGCTTGCCAGAGGCGTTACAAACATTTAGAGGCAAAGCTGTTAATGACCATTCAAGTGTTCTTCTCTTACATCTTTCATGTCTTCTGGGAAAGCCAGAAGGACTTTTTTGGTGTTACTGCAGGTGAATTGGGCCTGAGTTACAGTTTTGCCTTTGTTATCCTTCAAGTCTGGTGAGATGAGGAACAATCTTTTATCAAGAAACAGTCTCCAAAATTATTAGGAAAGGGGATTTCCTTGCCCATCTGGTGTTCAGCTGGTAGAATTCAAGACCTTATTATAATCAGGGAGATAATGAAATTTGAAGCTGAACTGAGAAACACATGGCTCTTCTATTGTGGTAGCATGTGGGATCACTAGCAGTTCCAAAAGGTGACTTAAGGTATTGTTACTGATACAGGCCACAGAGTGCCGTTCTGCAGTGCCTCCATGGCTGAATAGAAGTGTAGTTTTTAGGAGAATAACTGTGGCTTAAAGGCGTGCAGTGATACGATATTCACCCTTCAGTCACAGTGGCTAGCCTGATCTGCAAGGACGCTTCCTATGTTCTTTCACTTTGAGGGAGAGATCAGAACGGGGTAAGGATCCTCAGGGAATTGTGAGGTGGGATCCATTACCTGAAGTGGAGGGAGGAGGTGAGAGTTAGCAGAAACCAGAGCTGAGTAGTGTGCCAGGAGGGAATGTAAGCTGAGAAACAATTTGGCAGTCTAAGGCTGGGAAGTTCTGACAGTAAAGATCAGCAGCAGATGAGAAATCTTGAGTCACTTTTTGGTACTCTCAGTTGGCAAAGTATTTAACTCTCATTGCTGTAATGCCACTGGGAAGATCCAAAAATGGTCATCTTCTGCTAAGATTTTTCATTCTCAGAAGGCAAGATTTAGCCTCTTGTGCCATTCAGAAATGTTAAATATTAAAACAGGAGCTGGAGCGCATAGCTTATGAGGAGTAATTATTTCCTTTACGTGCTAAGACTTTAGCTGTATTTTTCTGTGATAAAATTGCCTCGCTTATAAGGTGGTGTTCTGACTTGGGCAAAGATGAGTCTGTTATGGGCTAGTAGGTGTAAGTTACGTACTGGGAGCTCTAGATTTACCTCCTTCTCCCATCTGTACAACAGTAAGAGCAGTGGATCTGCAGCTCTGCTGGCACTCTCCTGGACATGCCTGCTTGTACGCACAGTCTTTCCAACACCTGACAAGAGACAGGGAGAAACATGGAAAAAACTGGTAGGTTCTTTTTGGTTTGCCAAAATATCCCTTCGGAGATAAGGACTTAAATATTTCTAATGTATTTTAAGTTCCTGAAACATTGCAAATAATTCTGAACATAACTGATAATGTCATGTTAAAATCCAGGTTTACATGACAATCTTTTTTGCTTTCTGGTGTATTTTGATCTCTCCTATCCTGCTGGAGAAGGCAGGAGGTGTATCTTTATACATGAGAGTGGGGCAGTCTTGCACCTGCACAGAGTTGCTCTGCATGCTACAGTGCATACCAGTGTGTCTAGACTAGGTTTGCTAGTGGTGCCTCCAAGATGCAGTCTGCAGCATGGCATGAATACCTGTGCCTCTCTTGAAGTGGTTGTATGTGGTATCCTGCCATATAGTGTCAAGGAGTTTTTTGCTTCCTTTTCACCTACTTTTAACAACCTCAGCCTGCGACCATGCTCATAGCACCTTGGAATATAGTTGGAACACATTTTAAGAAGAGATGTAATCTGATATAAACTGCTGTTTGCAAAGTCAGAGTTTCCAAAACTGTTATGCATGGTTCTGTGAAGTGATGCGTGTGAGGTGAAAGCAATGGCAGCTTGTTGGAAGAACTTACATGACCTAAAGACTTTTTCCTCAGCAGATTCAGCTAATCACTGGCATCTGACACATCCTGTTTGAGCTGAGCTCTCTGAGAAGCAGGTGCATGAAGGTTTTCTTGGCTGTTTCCCTTGGCAGGTGGAGGTTCAGTGTTTGCTCCTTTTGGAAGTCCTGGGAGGTTCTCATAAGCAGGCAGTGGATGGGGCCGTGAAGAAATTGAACAGGCTGTGGAAAGAGGTGATGTGTGCCTTACATTACCATATTCAATAGCTGTTCTACGTTCTGTTTGTTAATGTACCTTGCTCTTTTCTTTTCAGAACCAAGATCTGGTGGATCAGTACCTATCTGTCATTCTTGGTCTTGAACCAAACCAGAGTTATGCTGCAATGTTGGGACTTGTGGTGCAGTTTTGCACAGCCCAGAAAGAACTTGATATTATTAAACGATACAAGGTAAATCTGTCATACTGCCTTTTTTTTTTTTTTTTTTTGGTAATAAGTAACATCATTTCTCATGGAGAAGGGGACTGAATAGATGTCTCGGTGAGCTTGGTCTTTTGCATCTGCCCGTGGTTTCGTTATCTGTCAGTTCAGTAGTTGTGCACTGCTGTCCAAAACAGCTGGGATAGATTTATAGAGGAGGTGTCAGATATGTGGCTTTTTGCTGTGCCCTGTGCATTTATATAGATGGCCAACACTGCAGCTTTCTGCCTTTTCCCCTGTTGTAGGAATGGAAGGCAGCATTTAGCTCTCAGCATGTTTTGAGCATTGGGCTGAAGAGTAGAGCAGAGAGCACTGATCTCTGCTTGACTGTTTTATGTGAGGATGGAAGCAAAGCTTCTGCTTAGTGGATAGAGCTGCCTTCTGGATAAGAATGGGGTGTGGTGTCAAGCCTGGCTTCCTGATGGTGTGTGGGGAGCTGTGTATGGGTTGTGATGTGGCTGTAATTTGGTGTTTCTGCTTGTTCAGAGTGCTCTTCTGGATTTCTACTTGAAGACCATCCTTATGAGCAAGACAAAGCCTCAGAAGCATGTGCTGGTGAGACATACTATTACAGACCTGTTTGTACTTTTGTCCTATGTGCAACATCTGCTGCTGTGCTGAGCGCTTTGTTCCCTTTGCAGGACAGCTGTTCCCCGCTTCTTCGGTACATGTCTCATGCTGAATTCAAGGACTTGGTTTTGCCAACTCTGCAGAAATCCCTGCTACGGAGTCCTGAGAACGTCATTGAAAGTGAGTCTGTCATCTCTCTGCATTGCTCTGTCAAAGAGCATGAAGAGTTGTTCCTTAGGGGTCTGGAGTTGTGGGGGGAGTGTGTATCTCTGGACTATGCTTTTGGTCCTGTGAGCACAGGCGGCAGGATTGTCTGGCGTCTAAGGATTGGTTTTGGAGAAGCAACATTTGTGGTGTGATCCCAAGTGTCTGGGTATATGATAGCTGCTGTTTGCACTGAGGACAGAATTTCACAGCTGAGTGCTAAGAATAATCCTGAATTAATCTGTTCACTGGGCATCAGTTTCAGTGTTTTTTCTTCCTATTCCTTACTGACCTCGTCTGCTCCTGATGTGAACTGTGGGGAAGGGCGTATTAAAATGCTAAAAGCAATTACTTAACAAAATGTAATATGCCATTATCTCTTCTGTCTTCAGCAATCTCTTGCTTGCTCGTATCTGTGAACCTGGATCTCAGCCAGTATGCTCTAGACATTGTGAAAGGGCTGGCCAGTAAGTACTCTAACTTCTGGAGGGAATGATGAATCCAGGATAAAGCTTTCTTCAACGTTCTAGCTGTACCTCTAACAGCTTGATTACCAGTAAAGAGGTTGTTTTATGTGGGAGGGAGGATGATGCCGTAACTTGGAACTAGAATAGTTCACGTGATGGTTCCAGAAGCTGAGTCAAGCCACATGTAAAGATACATCCTTGTCTTGCTACTTTATGCAGTTTGTTGTAAGAAGCTCTTAGCTTGCGCATTATTTTCTAGGTCATCTGAAATCCAACAGCATGCAGCTGATGGATGAAGCAGTTGTAGCATTAAAGAACTTGGCTCGGCAGTGCAGTGATCCTTCGGCTGTGGAGTCGCTGGGCAGACACCTTTTTGCCATCTTAGGGGGTGAGTAAAGGTTTACCAGTTTCAAGCAGTTTTGTGTATTGTATTTTCCATTGTCTTTAGCTGCCTCTATGATAGGGGTGGCTCAACCTGGATAGAGGTAATGGGGCAAGCTTTTGTATTTTTAGAGAAGATACTCAATGTGGCACATAGCTGTTGTCTGTAAGTCAGCCATCACCCATTCGTTTCTTGTTGGCAGGCTCAGAAGGGAAGCTGACCGTTGTTGCTCAGAAGATGAGTGTCCTTTCAGGTGAGGATCCTAGAAGAAAGCTGCTTCTCTGGTGGAGGAAATTCAGCAGAAGGCTGAATGAAAGGGATCTGTACTTAAACCTTTAGGATTCCCTACCTGTCATTCCAAATTGGCCGTTGTTAATGTCATGGACAGTGCTGGATACCACATGCCAGTTCTTGACCTTCTCTTCAAAGGAAATAATTGGCTGGTAGGCTAAAATGTTTTATGCAAGGAAGATGACTGTATCCTGAGTAAAAGTGAAGACAGGGGTCCTACAGTGTTGGTACATGGTGGATGTGACATCCAGATGTAGTGATGAGAGAGAGATGTCTGTGTGAGGATTGAAATGTGAAGGGCCGTTCTTGATTGTTTTTAGATTGTGCAGCAAGTGCTGGTAGTTTGGGAACTAATGAAGGAATTCTGTCCTTTCAGGGATTGGTAGCCTTAGTCACCATGTGGTTTCTGGATCCTCTAGCCAAGCTCTCGCTGGAACCCTGGCTGAGCTTTTCATCCCTTTTCTGCAACAAGAAGGTGAGACCTCTTGCCTTTGTTCTGGGTTTGCTAAGCTGCTTTTGTCTTGAGCAGGATTTTCAGGCGGCCCGGTACACAGGACGAATCTGGATTCTCGCCTGTTGTGTTATAAAATCCCTTGCCCTGTGTTGATGAGCAGCCTCATGGAGACAGTGCTGTGTCTGTTAGAAACACATGCATTCTTTTCCTGCCTCCTCCTGATGATGATATCTGCTTTCTGTTTTATCTTCCTGTGTTTCATACAATTGCTGTACTGATGTCAGCTCTGTGTTACTTCCTAGTCCATGAAGGCACCTTGGTTCATGCAGTCTCTGTCCTGGCTCTTTGGTGTGTTCGGTTCACCACAGAAGTTCCTAAGAAGCTGGTAGAATGGCTAAAGAAGGCCTTCAGCCTTAAAACCTCTACTTCAGCTGTGAGACATGCCTACCTGCAGTGCATGCTAGCCTCTTTCAAAGGTAAAACTGTGCAGCTATTAATAACTCTTGACTGTGTGGCTTAAGAGAAGAGTAATCAACTTTTGTACTTCCTGATATAAGTAGATAGCTGTGTGGAGTAAGAAAGATTTTATAAGGCAGTATCTGTTCAATGACTTCCTCTGTATTTCTCCTTAAACTTTCTTTTGTCTTCAAAGAAAATGGTTTGTCTCCTTGTATAAATAGCATCGCTGACCATTGTGCTATCTTTTCATATACCCCCAAAGTAATTTTTGATTGTTTTATTTTTGTCTTAAACTTAGATTGTAAGGTTTCTAGCTCAGGTCCATGCTTTTGTTTTATATAGCACCCAGCACACTGGCATCCTGGTCTGTGGCTTTGGCTCTCAGAAGCTTTAAAAAAATACAAAAAAATTAATGTGTTGGAAATGAAGACCTTCAGAAATTCTAAACATTTGGTGATCCTTTTGAGATTTGCTTCTGTTGGTCCTATCCCCTTTGACTTCAGCATTTCATCCATGAGTCAATAGGCAATCAATCTGATGCCTGTATCTGAGATCTCCCTTTCTTGTTGATGCAGTGAGAATCAAAAAGATGGTATGCATTTGCTTAAGAATCAATAACTCAATGTATTGTATCGATGCAGTGAATTTGCCATAATTTTCTCAATATGGGTACGAGTGAAATTGTAATTCTACATTTTTCTATTGTAGCTACCAGGAATTTCTGTGCTATCATAGGGCTGAAAAAAAACACACTCTAAAAACTACGTGGATGTCACAGGATGGTGGTCCTTTCCAAGACATTGCTAGGGCCAACTTGAAGTTGCTCATGCTTGCCATGGGCAAGGGGGATTACTTGTGTGTGATGTGTGCAGCTGTTCAAGGGATCAGGGCTCAAGATAATTCATATTCCAAAGTAATTTACTTGCCACTGGAACACTGTCTACCATTGCTTTGACCCACCCAGTGAGGCATCCAACTGGGGCATAAAGAAAACAGATTCTACTCTTATGAGTTTATGGTTAAAACACTACCTGAGAACACTTAATGTAGAAAATCACAAGGTCTGTTGTGTGTGAAGTGTTAGTCCTGGAAATTCCAGGAATACCTAGCTCAATTTCTGTGGAAGTGAGGGTTGCAGGCCAGTGGGATTCCTTGACTTGTGAATGTTTGAAGTAGAACAGATGGTTGTGGCTTGCCAGGAATTTACTTTCCCTCTCTTGGGGAAATGTAATCTTTGAAGTTAGACTTCCTGTGATTTGAACCGATTCCTTTAATATAACTGAATTAGCTTTTTCTTTTGCATCCTATGAACAGAAGCTCATATTGAGATGGGACTATTTTAGCTGTGAGGAAAGGTCTAAAGTGGTTATCATTCAGCTTTTTATAAAGTTTAATGATAGTAGTGATTGGCAAATACTCCGTGAGATTCAGAGTGTCTGGTACAGTACTGTATGTGTCTGGTTCTGTTCCTTGTCTCACGACAACAGAAGAACCGTTGATACCCTTATGGTGTAAAGTGTGAAGGACCATGTTGTTTTTTAACTTGTATTTTTCTGTCTCCTCAGGTGACACATTATTACAGGGAATGGACTTGCTGCCAATGCTGATCCAGACGGTGGAAAAAGCAGCATCTCAAAGCACCCAGGTTCCCATGGTAACTGAAGGAGTTGCTGCAGCTTTGTTGATCTGCAGGATGTCTGTAATTGAGGGACAAACCGGTAAGGTCACAAAACATGTAGTAGAATCCAATATAAACAGGTTCTGAGGGTTAACACTTTTTCTTGACAATGTGCATGAGATGCTATTCCTTAATTTGTGTATTGTTTCCGTGTAGAGAATCATTGCCCTTTTGTAAACCAGGGAAGGACTTATTCCCATCTCCCTTGGTTATGTCAGTGAAGAATTCCGGCTCTTCCATGGCTTTGCAAATTCCAGGTTCCACTCCATTAATGCAGTAATCCTCTTTATTCTGACGCAAGACATTCACCCAGACCTTACATGCTAGGACTTCACTAATTCATTAGAAGTATTACTTGCTTGTTATTTGGGTAATGTTTTTACAAAACATCTCTGGAAAGTATAAGGACTGGAGTTCTGTCTTCCATTGGAGGATATTACAAGAACTGTCTGAATTCATACATCTGCCAGGATATAAAATCCAGGTGTATTCTGTCTTTCAAAAGCAACACACACTTCTTTCCTTTCCTTTATTTTTAGGAAGGCTTGCCCTATGAGGGATTAAGGTGAAACAGACTTTGTTTCACAAGTATAAGTCAGAGAAATGCATTTTTTTCAGCAGGTGTTTTTGGGGCATGGTTGTAGTTCTGAATTGGAGAGATGAGAGGCTTTATAGCTGAAGACAAGTAAAGCTAGAAATAATTTGAGTGATTTCAGGAGATAGAATTCTACTATATTTTATGTGTGCTGGTGAGTTCTGACTTATTTTGAAACATGCTTGATAGACATCTATTCTTTTCCTGTCAGAGACTAAGCTGAGTGGTTTCTGGCAGCTGATTCTGGATGAGAAAAAACAAATTTTTACATCAGAGAAGTTCTTGCAGTCTGCGCCAGAGGAAGGTAAATTGTCAGTTATTGTGTATCTAATTGCTGTTTAACTCTATTATTTAGTACTTATAAGAGCTACTGTTGCTGTTAGCCCTGTTTTATGATCCTTGGAGGATTCAATTTCAGATTAAAATGAACAGCATGCTTTTTCAGAAGTACATCTAGGCTAGTTGTATCCTAAGCTTGACAGTGAATTAATTTATTTCTTAATGAAGCTGAGTTATCAAACATTTATAATTCCAAATGTGTATATTCTGTAAAAGTCTTTCCAATACAAAATGTGTTTGTGTGGTGTCCCAGTTTGTAAGTAAATAGTTGGAGCCAGTCTAAGGGATGTGGAGAAGCCTAAAATTAAGATGATGATGGAAAAAAGTAAAATAAGGCTGGAGAAGACAACATGTAGGTGAAAATCTTAAGCTTTGTGGGGAAGAGTAATAGCAGATAGGAAATCGATTGGGTTATAAATCAGTGTCTCTATGCTCAGTTTTGTTCTCTTGTGTTTAAAGATTAATTGAAAAAAAAAATTAATAGAATGTGCCCAACAGAAAATATTACTGGCAACATTTTAAACCAAAAGTTTTGAAAATGAGTTCATGAATAATTTCTCTGAAATGAATTAATTTATCTTTTGTACAAAGCTTTGAAGAGGTAAAGTTTTCTAAGTGGGCAATAACAGCATTTCTCCTTTGCTTGCAAGTCTGCAAATATCCTGAAAGAGCATGATTTGGAAAATTTTATATTGCTCCCTTAGGATGTTAGCTCCAAAAAGAGTAAATATTGTCACAATTTGTTATTGGTTATTTAAGCAAAAAAATCCAGCTAACATGCTTAACATCTCCAAACTGTCTGATGTCAAGAGTCCCCTGTACTATACTTAATACAGGTTATAACCCACCCCATGTTTCAGGCCTCTTTGCTCCTGCTTTTATGATATGGTTGAACGTTGATATACAAACCAAAAGGTCTAGGGACAGTTGAAGCTCAGAAGATGGTAAAACACCAAGGCTACTATTCAAATAGCATTATGCATTTGTGCATGAATTCAGTATACGTTTTATTGTCACTGAAGACATTTCAGCAGTGCTCAGGAATTAACACTATTGATGCAGTGAGCATTTTGTTTATCGTTTGGTTTGTGCTGTTGACTTAGACAAGATTAGGCCGCATGTAGCGGTCAGGAAAATTCTGCTGGGATCCAGCTAAGAACGTTTCTATGAAGTCCTGGTTCTGTTTCCAGTCTTGACAGATCTGAGTTGGATTTGTCTCTAGCTTCACTGAGAAGATTATGTAGAGGCTCAGTTTGGGTAGCTATTTGAACATGGCCTGCTTGCTGTTTGTTTGTTTTCAGGTAAAAAAAAAAAAAAAATCTGTTTCCTTATGAAGTCTTATGCTATTTTAAATATTTGTCTTTTCCCACAGCAATGTGTACAGTACTGCAGCTGACAGAGCGCCTTCTCTTGGATCATGCACAACGACTGCCTGAAAGTAAAGTTCAGTACGTAGACTGCTCTTGCTGCCAACGATCTGTGTCTGATCCCTGAATGTTAATGTGGGCAATGGAGAGGCCAAGCTTGGGACATTGCACAAAATGTTGAACTCTTTGTGCTTTTGTGTCCAGTTGGCTTGCAGGGCTGCCTCCCTTGCTAAACTTGTTTATTTCTCTGTTTTCAGGCAGTATCACCGTGCCCTTGTTGCAGTACTGCTGAGTCGGACCTGGCATGTTCGAAGACAGGCCCATCAAACAGTTAAGAAGCTCTTGTCCTCTCTGGGAGGGTACAAACTGGCCTATGGGCTCTTGGAGGAGCTGAAAGTGGTTCTCAGTTCTCACAAGGTGAGTATTCAAGAAGCCTGGTCTCTGCTTAGCTAGTTGTTTGTACGATGCCAATCACCTCCCTACCCTAGATTTGCATATATATACATAGCATGATACAAAGATGATTCCATTCCAGATGATCTCCTAGAATGCCACTTGTTACTAGATTATTGCGTATTACTGTATCGGTGCCTGTGATGTGCCTAGTCTTCCCTATATACACAGAAGACATATTATTCAAAAGTATTTGGGGAGGAAGCTGCAGTTTTCTATTCTATGCAGTTTCCTTCTATTAATCCAAATTTAATCCCTGCTGGAAGACCCAAGTGCTTCATTCCTTTCTTGGTATCCTAGATCTTTGGACCTGGCTTATAGCTCAGGCTGCCTGTTTAAAACAAATGTAATATAAATGCTTTAGTTATAACTGTTATCAAAAATAAAAAGAAAATAAAAAAAGGAAACAATGAGTGCTATCTTATTGGGCATGCTGCTAAACCAGCGCCATGTCAAGTTGTATAATAAATTAAGTTGCATTACTTAGGTACCAAGGCTGAGATATTGTAAACAATCTTCCCATGTTACAGATACAGCCTGAATAAAGCATTTTTTTGAAAAGATACTGGATAAAATTGGACTGCAAAGTTGGGCATACTGTTCCCAGCCAGCTGTTCAATCTTTTCCAAAGTCCTCTTTGCCAAAAGTGATCGTTTCAGTTTCATTTTACCCTGGCTTGCCAAATCTAGTATAGTTCTCCATTCTTAGTCTTTCTGACACTGTCATCTCTGTGCTTCTGTTCCACTGTTATCCTTTATCCCTTCTTTCCTTTGAAAACTTGAGGTTGTTAATACTGACGAGGGGAGCTGATTGTTGATATTCACTATGGTGTTACTGTGGGGAAGTGTGCTCAGGGAGTCTTGGTGTGATGTGTTAATGTCAAATTGTCCACTCAGGTTCTGCCTCATGAGGTCCTGGTGATGGAGTCAGGAGAGCTGTCAGAGCTAGGAAAGACTTACATTCCTCCCCGTGTCCTTCATGAGGCACTCTGTGTCATCTCAAGTGTGGCAGGGCTTGATGTGGATTCCTGTGAGCCAGAAAAGCTGGCATTGGAGATGCTGCTGGTGAGCCATCATCCATCTGTAGGTAAGTGAAGGGATGAGACCACTGTCATGGCCAATGTGTGGGGTTTTTATCTTACCTTTTTATTTTATTGTACTAGCAGTCTGCTTCATATTTATTATGCTCATTTATTGTTCTTGCTAGTGGCAGTGCAGCCAGGTCTTTGGCCAGCCCTCCTCATCAAGATGAAGATAGATCCCAAAGACTTCATTACCAAACACCTGAATGACATATTACCCAGGATCACTGCCTATGCTCCGGAGAACCAGGTGATAAACCTCTGCTTTCCTTGTGTTAGTTTTGGGAGATACTTTGTAACAGGAGAGTTTTCTGGAGGGCTTAAGTACTAACTGGTCTATAAGGAAGGAGATATGTCTAAAAGGTGGGGAAAAGGCACGTTCAAAGAGAATATCTCTGGTGAAAAGGAGCTGGGAAGAATGTACACCAGCAACCAGGTAGAATTCTAGATAAGATTTAAGTACCCACTGAACAAGGAATTAGAACATAAAGTGGGCTGCCTTAACAGGGCATACTTTCTTGAGACAATTTCAAGGAATACTGATAATGATGTTTTTTCCTTTGTTTTCCTGATAGTCATCTATGAATGCAGTGGGATCTCTCTCTCTGCTTTCACCTGGTAGAGTGCTCCCACAGCTCATCAGCACTATCTCAGCATCAATGGAGAATCCAGCTCTGTGCCAGGTTACTCGAGAGGAATTTGCCATCATGAAGACACCAGAGGGAGAACTGTATGACAAATCTATAATACAGAGGTAAGACTTGATGGTTTTTTTTTTTTCTCTGTGCACCTGGGGATTGATTGCTGCTGGCACGTAGCCAGTGGGTGAGTGGGTTTGTCAGATCCTCTTTCTGGACAGGAGTTCCTGGATTTGTGTCCCTGGATCTTAGACCAGAGCGGTGCTGATTCTTTTCTCTGCTTTTCCTTCTCAGTGCTCAACAGGATAGCATGAAAAAGGCCAACATGAAGAGGGAGAATAAAGCTTATTCCTTCAAGGAACAAATCATTGAGCTAGAGCTGAAGGAGGTGAGTTGATGGGAACAGGAAAGCCAGTAGTGAAGGTTCTGACACCAGGCTATCTCGTACGTTTTATGGCTTCTGGCATATGTTTGTACACTGTTGGGAAAGATTCTCTGAACTTCTTTGAATGCCTAAATGTTACTTCTCTTATATCTGTATTTGTATCAATTTATGTGTTATTCTACTTGTTTGTGAGTGTCCTTGCTAGTTGGTAACACCTGTTTTTTCTGTTCATCTCTTGTTCAATGTATCTCGTGTAACTTTTCAGTGAGGGTTGTTAAATAGGTGCTTCCATCTTGTAGACAGACAGGAGTTCTGTTCAGTCCCACTGGAGCAGTGGGTGTAGGTGGGGGGACAAATTTGGTAAAAGAAAGGGAACATGCCACGTTGACTGGAGCATTCTTTTATTAAAGGTTGACTTCTCTTTGCTCTGGGGAGGATGACATGCCCATCCCCTGCAAAAAGAGCTGGACAGCTCTTTCGAATGGTATCAAATAATTTGTGACCAATTTAAATATGGGAAAAACTGATTTTATGCTGCTAATGGGACACTGAAGTGTTGTTAACCTGCTGATTTCCATTTTGTGTCTTCACTTAAGAGTGACGTGCTTGGAAGAATATTTTGATACTGTTTTAAAAGTAAATTGCAAAAAACCCCAATGTGTCCAGCTTTCTTCTCTACCTAATTGAGGGGATGGTGTTAATAATGTCCATGGTGCTCTGCTGCAGGAAATAAAGAAGAAGAAAGGAATAAAGGATGAGGTGCAGCTGACTAGCAAGCAGAAGGAGCTGATGCATGCACAGCTGGAAAGGGAGTCTCAGATAAGAAAACGTCTGAAGGAGGTAAGTTTTGATGGTCTTTTTTGCCAACTCTGCAGCTACCATGACCCAAGTAACTTTGATAAAAGGAAATGGAGTAGCATAGAGAAAATTTGACAATAACCTATTTATTTCTTTCATTAGAAATTAGATTTAACAATTTGATTGTTTCCCAGTGGAGTTTTTTTGTGGTAACCTTTTGAATTGGTTCTCTTACAGCTTGATAATGAGCTGGAAACAGCCCTAGGACTCCTGGACACTGTTATAAAGAGAAAGCCTCCTGGTCTAACTCAGTACATCCCTGGTCTCATTGGTTCCTTCTTGCCACTTTTTCGATCGCCTTTGGCTGCTCCAAGGATTAAGGAACCTTTTCTTTCCTTAGCTTCCTGTGTCATGCCTGCTCGACTGAAAACCTTTGGTTAGTATTTGCAGTTGTTATTTAAGGGCAGGGTGCATTATTTTTATGACAGGGCTGTGAAAAACTTTGCTCTTACAAGCTGTGGATCGTGACCATGTACCACAGACAGCCAAGAGGAAAAAGCACCCTGGAACAGTGCCTAAGGAGATGACTGTGATGTCCCAGAGATCCTACTGTTGGATAGGACTGGGTCCACAGACAAGGAGTTGCCCAGTCATTGTGACCACCTCTCAGTAGCTCTCGGTCGCAATGGGATTGTCTCCAGTGTTTGGAGTTTGGAGGATGTGAACGTAACTCACATGTGTGAATGAAGGAAGCTGTCCTCTATAAGCCCCAGGGCTGTGCTTCCTTCTCTGTGCCTCTTTTGCAGCCTGGGCTCTTGCCCAGGGCTTTGTTATAATTCTTGGGTCTGTGTTCATTGGGGTTTTTCTCTTGAGAAATCATTGGTTTTAGACTTCTCAAGGATTCTTTATTCTTTCATACCAGGTACTTTAGTGAGCCATGTGACCTTGCGCCTGATGAAGCCAGAATGTGAATTAGATGAATCCTGGTGTCAAGAAGAGCTGTCTACTGCTCTGAACAGAGTTGTTGGCTTGCTGCATGCCCATACCATTCCTAGCCGAACAGGCAAGGGAGAGCCAGGTAAAAAGTATTTAGATCCCTCTGACACACCGCACCCCCAATAACTGTGAGTTGTTTTAGTTTTGATGGTTTGTATAATTTTTATAGGTGAGACTTTGCTTTTTTGTCTTTTTTTTTTTAATAATCAGGTAAGTCTTCATAGGTGTGAAAAAGCTTAAGGTTTTTTTTTGTGGTGGTAGTAGTAGAAATGATGTTACAAGTATAGTAAGTCTAGAAATGAAATAACAGTATTTTTTCTTAAAAAATTCATACAGAAATAATAGTGAAATTAAGTCTTATCTTTGCCAAGGACAGTTCCTACCTTTCAACACCACTTAGCATAAGTGATTCAGTGAGATTAAGTGGAAAGACAGAATAATTGCTTGTTATCTGTGATCTCAGCAGTGAAGTGCCTGTGGCCTCTGCTTGTTTGCTATGTAGTGCTGCAGTTCATGAATATTTTATTCTGGCATGGTTGTAGAAGAAGCAGTTCTTTTCCACTCTGTAACATGAAGGCAAGCACCAATACTATTACAGTGCAAGAATATGATCTGGGTTAGAAACGAACCTTTTTTTTTCTTGATTTTTTTTGTTTTCATTTTTAGGTTTTTCCCCCCCACACACTAGTTTTAATCTAGATCACTTCCAGAATTTGCTTCCTGATGGGGTGCACAAGTACTTGTACCACTACATTGACAATAACAGTAGAGAAGAGGGGAGGGTAGGTCTGCTTCCTTTGAAGGCAGGGATGGCTTAGGTTGTCTTAAAGAATCTGCTGTACTGTAGTGATAGAGGTCGTTCATCCAGGCTTTGGAGTTGTTCATCATCTACCTCAATCAAAAACTGCTGTAGTAGATGGTTTATAATTTTTTTAAAGGAAATGTGGCGTTCCATTTGGTCCCTTACCCCAGTAGTTCAGTTCTCTTACTGTTCTGTTGCCAGTCAGATCCACAGTTGTGTGTGACTGGTGCACGTAATCTTCACAGCTGAGTAGTAGCAGCTGACCATGTTGAGCACCACTTCAGTGTTCAGAGATGTTCATCTCAGTGATAATTCAGTATCTCCACTATGTCATTTATTTCCATAGTAAGCCCAAGTTCATTAACATATGAATCCATTTTCAGGCTTACTTCCAGAAAGTAGTGGAAATATTTTCAACCCTCCTCCTTCAAGATTTCCTACAGTGCTTAATTAAATGAATGTCTGATTTTTTTTTTTTTTTTTTTTTTTTTTTTTTGCTTAGCATAGAGGAAGGAAATAGGTTCCATAACGATTTGTTGGACAAGTCATGTTATATTTCCAAGTGATTTTTCCTCATTTTCAAAGTTCTTTGGAGTCTAATCTTGCAATATTATTTAGTAGAGGTTAGTTTCTTAGGTTACCATGAGACCTAAGAGAGACCATACCTCATTATAATGCAGACGATAAAATTTATCATTCATTGCTGAAATGCCAAGATATATTTTATAATCTTTTTCCTATTGGTCAATACTAGCTGCTGTGTTAATAGAACATTTATCTTCTCAGATAAAGCTTTCTTCCTCCTGCTGCATATAGAGGGACAGTTGCTTAAGCCTAAAGAATATCTGGCCAATAATTAAAGAAAACAAAAGAAAAAAAAAAAGCATAAAAGCGAACAGTTACTGAGCAAACAGAGAAAAATCCCACATCAGAAATGGAGGGAGTTTTACCTAAGCTATTCATGTTAAATAGGAGCTCACAGTGTGTTTGGTATTTAATATTTCTCCTTTGAACTACTTTTGCACTATCTGTGCCCTACATAAGCTGACTAATACTGCAGTATTATATCTGCAGTGCTCTTCAACTGCATCTTAGAAATTTAAAATCTGGCATTCTCTGGCAGCACAGATAGGATGTAGAAAGCATACGTTTTCCCTGGACATCTAATACTTGAATTTTAACTGGACTAACTGGAGGACTGGAAGGAGCATTTGTTATGTCCCATAGCCAAGCCCCTGTGAGAAGGAAGGAACCAAATCTTTAACAATGGGAATCCAAAAGCTTTAATTTTTTCAGGAGGGGAGGGGAGTTGAAACTTGCACCAGAATTAGAGGAATCATTCTCAAGAATCCAGCTGAAGACTGGAGTGACAGGTTAGCTGGCTTGGTAGGAAGTGTTTAAAGGGAATGTAGCTGGGAAACAGGCTCCTACTTTGGGACAAATGAACTTTAGAAGTGAATTAATTAAATTGTATCAGATCCCTTTGTGGATCCTCCTGCTCAGAAGTAAAATTGACCATAACTTTTTTTTTTTTTTAGTTTAATTCATTTTAATACTCAGTGTACACACAAACTTTAAATAATAGATTTAATTTCAACTTTGGTAGTGTGACAGATTTGATTTTGTGTCCTGTCCCCCGCTGCCTGCAAGTATTTCCAGGATAGACAAAACCTCAGTTTTGCCTATCTGTCTACTTTAATCTATTGAATTCTTTCAGTTTCATTTACAGCTTGTATTTTTGCACTGCTGAAGCATTGGAAGTAATTTGGAATCCTAATGTGACTTTAATTAAAGCCAGCTCCTTCGTGTAGCAAGCAACAACAACTTTGGCTGGAATCATAGAATCTTTTAGGTTGCAAAAGACCCTTAAGATCATCATCAAGTCTAACCGTTAACCTAACTCTGAAATGCCAAACGTCACTGTTGGAGCCATACTGTTGCTGCCATTAAGTGGCAAAGTGGTAGAGGCTAAACAGGGGGCTGGCTGTGTGCGCTGCTTTGAACAAGCTAAACTTTGTCCGTGTGGGGTAAGTCCAGATACACATGAGACAGTGTCCTTTAGACTGGGTATTCCTAGGGGCATAGAAATACTTAGGGTCACTTAGCATGTTTGTACACAAGGCTGAAGCTGGCCATATCCATTATGCAGTACTAAGGTGTACATTTCACGCCAGTTAATATTACAAAACAAAGAACTCATGCTTAGAGTTACAACATTTGGAAATATAACAAGATCAGCTATGCTCACAGGATTTTTTTCTTTTTGCAGGTGCTGCCCCATTATCTGCTCCAGCGTTTTCCTTAGTTTTTCCTCTCCTAAAAACTGTTATGACTGAGACGCCTCATGACAGTGAAGACAAGGAGGAGTTTCTGGTCAAGATTCTGCAGATCCTTACGGTCCATGCTCAGATGAGATCATCAGCAAATGGCCAAGCTTTGCTGGTGGATGAGGTAAGTGAGAACTGTGGGGATCAGATGACCTCCTTCAACAGTTGTTCAGATGAGGCACGGGATAAAGCAGCTAATGTGTAAACTGGACAAAGCAGATTAATTCTATAAGTTAAACTTAACAGCGTAAGATTGTTTTCTGTCACGGGTTTTGGTTACTCGTCGAGTCCTAGGTTTTGATTGTGATTTTTATGAGGAGTGTCATACACAGGCAAGGTACTTTGGAGTCATAAGACATAAAGCTTTTTCTCCTCCCTCCACCTTTTCTCCCTGCAACCTTTCAGAATGGCCCAGAGTTGCTGCCTCGGAGGGACATGCTGGTTCTGCTGACCCGGGTGATAGGAACGGGTTCTCCACGGTTACAGGTCAGTCCTCAGCTTCATAACCACAGTCAGGATTCTGTTTAAGTTTCATCAGCATCTAACTGAGGGAAATACACCCACCTGGTTTAAGTCTCTGAGGCTGGTGGCTGACACATTACCAATTTTCTCCTATGCTTGTGGTATTCTTGGGATAAAATGCCTTTATCTTTTTTCCTGTGGGTTTTATTGCACTAAACATATTCTTCAGTTTTCCACAGGTGCCATTTTATTCCTTTTCTAAGGCCTTGCTCTGGCAAAGAAGTGTAGTAGTTGTTCCCTTGAGTAACCAGCAGTAAACTTTGTTCTAAGGGATGAGATGACAGAAAGGTCAAAAATAAAAAAAAGGCAAAGGGTTGGACTGAACTCGCCAGTTCTCATTTTCGTCACGAAGTTTTGTCACTGTTCTTTGAGAATTTCTTCTCTTGTGATAACACTCAGCCCCCGCCCTGGGCTTGCTTTGGCCAAATGCACAGGCGCAGGAGGCAGTGGTGGAATCTATAATAATTCCTCATGGCATTTTAGGTTTTGGCTTCCAATGCACTGACTGCCCTGTGCACAAGCAGCAGCGGGGAGGATGGCTGTGCATATGCAGAACAGGAAGAGATCGACGTGTTACTTCAGGCCCTGCAATCTCCATGCATGAATGTTCGCGATGCAGCCCTCAGGGTAGGTGGGAATCATTTAGGGTCACATTGAATTCCTTAACTTTTTGAGAGGTGAATCTTCTTCAACACTGATGAAGAGAGGCTTCAGCTGTGATGCTAGTCTTTGGGTAGTGTGTCTGCAGGAGGCGGCACTAGCTACCAAACAAAAACCTCTAAGTAATACTCTTTGTGCTATATTTATCTCCAAAAAGGAGTACTCTGTGTCTGTCCATGCTTTTGTTTTGTTCAAACAGGTGAAATTATGACAACTTTACACCTTCTATTTACAATTTACGAAATACAAGCTGTCAAAAAATTCCTATGTCTGTATTGGGCCAAGTGGTTTTGGAAAGCTTTAGGCTTGGTCACTTCTCAGAACATAAAAAGGAAAGAAATAAACTAAGGGCACTTGGTTTTCTTTGCCATGAAACAAATTTCAGCATAGCTCCCCTGAGCTGGCTTCTCTGTACTTAGACACAGAGAAGACTAGTCACCAGAGCACAACCTAGTGCCTGGTTGCCTCTCTGCAACCTGCCTATGGAGCACTATTCTTGAGCTTCACTGTCTTACCTATTAGCAACAGGAAATCCTTGATCTGCATGGGCAGCGTACTGCACAAGCAGACATGAATTTTGACACTTCCAACCGCTGCAAGCTTGACTTGGCAAAGGTTTTAAGTGTTTTAAAGTGTCTGTTTCTAAAAATCAGATCCTTGCATTGATTCTCCTGTAAACTAATTCAGGGTCTGATGGAGCTACAAATGGTTCTACCAACACCAGACAGCGATGAAAAGAATGGACTGAATTTGTTACGTCGCCTTTGGGTAGTAAAGTTTGATGTGGAAGATGAGATTCAGAAGTTAGCAGAGAGGTAAGAGTTCTTCCTGGCTGATTTGATTGTAAGGGGATCTCCCTTCCTCTCACCTCATGGAGCTCCGCTGGCAGGGGCTTTACCTCCCACAGGTGGAGGGCACCTTTAGGTCACCCTGATGTTGCATATAGCAGTGGCTTCTCTTGCTGAAGGGTGATCAGTCACCTCTGTGTGTGTGCTGCAGGTTGTGGGAGTCCATGGGTCTGGAGCTGCAGCCTGACCTCTGCTCTCTGCTGATCAAAGATGTCATCTACCATGAAGAGGCAGTGCGACAAGCAGGTGCTGAAGCTCTTTCCAGAGCTGTAGCTCAGTATCGAAACCAAGCAGCAGAGGTCATGAATAAACTTACAGAGATTTACCAGGAGAAGCTCTACGTAAGTACTCTTGTCCTAAGGGGTTGATAGGCACAAGCTTGTGCTCTATTTTATATTTTTTATTAATCACTTTTCCTTTTGTCTGTCTTGAGGATGTGCATGAAGCCTATCATTGCTGTGTTTGAGCTTATCACAGACTTTAATATCTTGAGCCTCAAGTTATCAGCCAGTAATGGCACCATTGTACAGGTGGAAGATATACATTGGGTGATACAGAAAGACTGTGGCAGAGCAGGGCCTAAGCTAGCTCTCTGCTTGTTTTTTTACTGTGCTTTTCTGCTCATGGCTTCACACCTCTGTGCAGTATTATAAAATGGCATTGCGGGTCTGGCTGTCAGTATTCTCTGCATGTGTGTCCTTGGAAAAGGCATTCTGAAATTTGTTCTCCTTCCAGAGGCCACCTCCAGTTTTGGATGCTTTGGGACGAGTGATATCTGAATCACCACCTGACCAGTGGGAAGCAAGGTACAGTCATCTTCAGATTGATCTCATCACTTCCTGTGCATCCAAATGAGGTGTTCCAGATTTTTAGTTAGAAGTTCAGGCAGTGGAGAAATAAGGGAATGTTAAAGGAACAAAATATATGCAGTTGTATTGACTTGCTGTTTTCATGCATCCTTCTGGTAGAGAATATTTGTGCCCCTCAAGCAGGCTGGGCAGGCCAAACTGAAATGCTCTCAGTTCCATCAAAATATTGGATGCTGTCTTCTCTGTGTCCTTCTGATAAGAACAGAGTCTTTCCGTCTCAGACTGTCTGATTTTTGTTTCATCTTACTGTATTCCCACCTCTGTATGAGCAGTTGATTGTTTCAAGAGCAGCAGTGCAAGCCTTAATGAACTGGAAAAATCCCAGTTTGGCTATTACTTTTTGTCTACTTGTATGCCCTATTAGGTTTAACTGGAGATCATCTTGTTCACTACGTGTCTTAAGCTAATCCGTTCTTTAGTGCTGATGTACCTTGTGAAGCTGCTGTATTTCAGCAGTGGATGAAGTGATCCTGATTTCTGTCTTTGTTGGCTCAAGTATCTGTAATCTGTCATCAGGATAAAAGTTGTCATATGGCTGAAGGATCATTGTCCTTTTGGGAACCTGCAGCATGGGGTTATGTAATGAAATGCACGTAGGTTGGACACTCTGAAGCTCTCTCTGGTTTTGTAATGGTTCTCTCTCTCATTTTCTGTAATGTGCTACTGATAGCAAATGTGATTGTCACCTCAAACAAATCCTGTGAGGTCAGGAAGCTCACAAGCTCACCATCTTTACAGGTGTGGTATAGCTTTGGCCCTCAACAAACTCTCACAGCATCTGGACAGTTCTCAGGTGAAGCCCCTCTTTCAGTTTTTTGTACCGGATGCCCTGAATGATCGCAGTCCTGAAGTCAGGAAGTGCATGTTAGATGCAGCTCTTTCAACTCTCAACACTCATGGCAAAGTAAGTCTGAATGTTTCTCTCTCTAGCAGTGGAAAAAGAGGGAATGAAAATGTAGATACTGTGTTGGAGCCCATAGATTTTTTTTTTTTTAAATTTTTTTTTTTTAATTTCTTAGAGGTTGCTGTTACTTGTAACAGCTGAAAACTTTCATGTAGTAAGAATTTTTGTGTGTTTGGAGTTGTTCTGTTAGTGACTAGTGTTGACTAAGTGTAGTTCTTCTCTGTCATTGCTATAAAAAAGAAATAGCTCTGAATCAACTTGTGTTAAAATGGTATAAAACTAGAGCAATTAAAGTGAAATCAGACCACAGATCTTTTAATCCTGTGAAGGTGAGAATTCCTTTTCAGGTCTCGTGCAAAGCAAAACATGAAAGCTTGCTGTTCATTGGCTTAATTAAACTGAAGACAACTGAAGCCATTCAGAGAATGGAGGACCATCCTTCTTCTCACTGCTAACCCTTCTCCAGCAGTGTTAGATGGGGAGGTGTGCAGGGTGTAAATTGCTCAGCTTCTGATTTCCTCCGATGGGCCAGTCACCTCTTCTGGACACCCTTCTGCATTCCGGTTAAGCCCAAGATAATAGGAGTATTTTTACATTACTCATTCTTTCCTTCTGTTTCTTAGAAAAACCATGTGAAGTTTGTTTTATCTTTCTGTTCTCCCTTTGCAAATGGAGCAAGCAAAAGAGCAGGCACTGATGTTTAGGCTAGCAGTCTCGCCTAGTGGCTTGCATTGCTTCTGGCAGAAAATTGTGCTGGCAGGTTTGGGGGATCTAATTTTTAAGAGCTAACTTCTTTCTAGGAGGAAATATTTGTTGCCTGTTTGAGATGGCACAAGGTTTTATGTGATGTGATGCATTAAATGAACTGTAAATACAATGTGGTTGTTCAGTTTGTTGGCTCAGAGAAGAACAAGCGTCCACTGAGCATAGCAAACCTCATTCTGAGTGGACTCTAGTGGCAAGTTCTGTGGTTTTGTTTTTCAGGACAATGTTAACTCTCTCTTGCCAGTGTTTGAAGAATTCCTGAAAAATGCTCCTAATGATGCCAGTTATGATGCTGTCAGGCAGAGCGTGGTCATTCTAATGGGTTCACTGGCAAAACATCTGGACAAGAGCGACCCTAAAGTGAAACCAATTGTTGGCAAACTGATAGCAGCCTTGTCCACGCCATCTCAGCAGGTAGGTGCCTTCCTGGAGGAATTCTCATGTTCCACGCAGAGGCAGGTTAACACTATGATACTTTCAGAGATGTCAGAGAGATGAAAAATGGCTCTGGTGACAGAAAACTGTCATTGTGGGTGCAGTCTATGAGGAAGTTATGTTGGTGATGAATATTTTGTGATCTGATAGCTGGTGGATTGTTTTACAGGTTCAGGAGTCGGTGGCAAGCTGTTTACCACCCCTGGTGCCTGCAATTAAAGAGGATGCAGGAGGAATGATACAGAAGCTGATGCAGCTGCTTTTAGAATCTGATAAGTATGCTGAGCGCAAAGGTGCAGCTTATGGGCTGGCGGGCCTGGTGAAAGGCCTTGGCATCCTTTCTCTCAAGCAGCAGGAGATGATGACCACGCTGACCGATGCTATCCAGGACAAGAAGAACTTCCGTCGGCGTGAGGGTAAGGGACAAAAGCTTTTCCTTCCCAAAGACTTCAAATTTCTCTTGTATCTACTGCCATTGTGGTCAAACCAAATGATACCTGAACCCTGGGCTTGCTTTATGTATATTTATTTTACTAAAAGTTGCAGAGGAAGAAATGGGGAGTGTCTGTGAGGAGGCTGCTGATTGTGTACAGTGTCCTAAAATTGCTCTATCTGCATTCTGGTGGGTGAAGGGTTTCTGGTCCTAAGGAACATGCTTGCGCCTCCTCCCTCCTGTTTTCAAAGGTGGGTGTTGCTAGGTGGGCTCCTGCTTCCTGAGCGGGAAGGGAGCTGTACGTGCTCCGCTCCAGCTGGTCCAGAGGGGCTCACACAGCCTACTTGTTCCTTTTGCTGCTGGATGTTTCCTGTCCCTGTTTCTGCTTACCTAAGCTAGGACTCAGAGGACTGTTACATGTTTTTAATGCTACTGGGCTTCTTGTCCTTTCTGAGGCCAGAAATCCCCATTACAGCACTAGCCACAAGTGCAAGAAGGCAAGAGACTTTCAGCTGTGAGATTTGAGTGCTTCTGGAGAAATTCTACAAAAATTGTATTTTCTCTTTCCATCCCCTTTAAATGAAGTTGTATTTTCCCCTGACTGTCCTTTTTATTTCTTTAGGGGCTCTGTTTGCCTTTGAGATGCTCTGCAGCATGCTTGGAAAGCTCTTTGAGCCCTATGTGGTTCATGTGCTACCTCACTTGCTACTTTGTTTTGGAGATGGGAACCAGTATGTGCGAGAGGTAAGATGATTTAAATTTCTGAGAACAGGCTGTTAAGAGACAACCAAAATGGAATGGATATGAATACTCTTGTAACTAGGCAAATTGAGAAGGTGGATTTATCCCTTGAGATACCACTAGTACAATTTGATTGTCTTAATAACTGAAAGCGTCTTATTTCATTGGCCATTAATTGGGAGCTCCTTGGCTGGCTGCGTCATTGTACTTAGACACTGTTTTATGTGAAGGCTTTGTTCCCATTGAGTCTTTGAGGAAGGAGAAAACGTGCGTTGTGACACAGCTTGTAAATATTCTCTTCTCCTTGGAGGCTGCAGATGACTGTGCCAAAGCCGTGATGAGCAACTTGAGTACTCATGGAGTGAAGCTGGTTTTGCCATCACTTCTTGCAGCACTAGAAGAGGAGTCCTGGAGAACCAAAGCTGGTATGGATGAATATCTGACTGACATGATTGAGAGTAACCCACGGTTCCCTTTGCTGTCATTCCCCTTGTTTATTCCTTTATCCCTACAGATGGCCACGATAGTTTTATTGTCTCATAAGGGTCTGTGGAACTTACAGCTTTTGAGATACAAATGAGTCCCCTGACACATTTGAGCAACTTTTTTCCCCCAGAAGATTCAAGGGACACTTTTTCCCTCCTGTCTCTCTAGAAGTACTCCAGAAGCTGGAATTTCCCCCCCTTCCCTTCTTTTCCCTGGTACCAAAAAAACCCTGTCTTTAGTGTCCTTAAGTGGCACAGAGTGGCTTTATACATTTCAGCCATTCTGTGTGTTCTTCGACTGGTAGATTTGAGGTAAATGTGATCATCTTCTCATATCTCTTCTTAATGCTGTGTATTGTTTTGTGCCTTGTCTTTTCATGCACAGGATCGGTGGAACTGCTGGGGGCTATGGCGTACTGTGCTCCCAAACAGCTCTCTTCCTGCTTACCCAATATTGTGCCAAAACTTACTGAAGTGCTCACAGACTCTCATGTGAAGGTGCAGAATGCAGGTCAGCAAGCTCTCAGGCAGATTGGGTCTGTCATCAGGAATCCAGAGATCCTGGGTAAGAACTGTCTGCATCTCTAATGTCCTGACATGACCGTGGTTTATAATGGCAAGGTTTATGTTCGCAACATTTAGGATTAAATCCAGACTTCTATAGAAATGAAACTAATCCTAGAAAAGTATAACCTGAAAGTTTAACCGCAGCTGTCTGCTTCAAGGCTTTTTGAATGCTTCTATCCATTTTGTCAGCTAATATTAATAGGGAATCCTCTGTCTCTGTGCTGCTAGTTGCTTTAGAAGGATCTAAAACATCCCATGAGAGAACAGCAGCTCACCCTGACATGTGGTTTTGGTTTTATGTACAAATAAAGTCCTTTCTCTCCTTTTTAAAAATGTTCAGCAATTGCTCCAGTTCTGTTGGATGCTCTCACTGACCCCTCCAGGAAGACCCAGAAGTGTCTGCAGACTCTACTGGATACCAAATTTGTCCATTTCATTGATGCACCATCCTTAGCACTGATCATGCCAATTGTCCAGAGAGCTTTTCAAGATCGTTCCACAGACACCAGGAAAATGGCTGCCCAGATCATTGGGAACATGTACTCCCTCACTGATCAGAAGGTATGGTGCTAAAAATGCTTTCTAACTGTGTGCTGTAGTTACTGCGTAGGAGATAACAGAACAAGCGCTAGAGAGAACTTACTTGGTTTGGGGGTTTTGCTGTTAAGGTAGGCAATATTAGAATCCACACAGCTGCTTTAATTAAATGTACGTAAATAAACAGGTAATGGCTATAAAGACAGTGACAATTCTCAGGTGCTTAAGGCTGTCAGCTTTGTACTTTGGTCATCTAGTTATTACCAGATTTATCCTTGCAAAAAGGTCTTGTTTTTACCGTGTTAGAAATGTGTTAACAAACAAACAAGCAAAACAAGCATCAGTGAAACACAGATCAGCTGCTTACAAATGGATCCAGGGTTTGTTTGAAAAGTGTTTGTAGAACCTCACTGTAGGCTGAAAATCTGTGCTTAATTTTTGTGCTGATAATCTCTACCTTTAAACCTTGTGTAAATGTTAACAGTGTTGGATTTTCCTTAGGTACAAAGTGCTGGGTTGTGGGTGAGCATCAAAAAGGTTTTGAGTGGTCTTCACAGGAACTGATGGTGTTTCTTGGACTTGCAGAACAATTCAGTGTGCTTATTTGCAGGATTGTGAAACCAACTGATTAACTCAGGAAGTTAAGAATGGTTGCTAATAATAAGGGGCTGAATGTCCTTTACATGAAGGTGACTCAGATTTCTTTCTCGTTTTGAATCTAGTTCTCACACTTTGGACTCTTTGTTTCAGGATCTGGCTCCTTACCTGCCCAGCGTGACTCCTGGCCTGAAGGCATCCCTGTTGGATCCTGTACCTGAAGTAAGTATTTTGTACAAATACAGTTTGTCTTTCAGTGCGTTGGGTTAGACTTTGTGCTGATCCTCTGTAGATCTGTAATCAGTCTGACACATCTGTCTCGGTAACTTTGACTGGATATTTTGCAAATCTCTGTTCCTCTTGTCTGTTAGGTGCGTACAGTGTCCGCAAAGGCACTGGGAGCCATGGTGAAGGGTATGGGAGAATCATGCTTTGAGGATTTGTTGCCGTGGCTGATGGAGACGCTGACATATGAGCAGAGCTCAGTGGATCGATCTGGTGCTGCTCAAGGTGAGGACAGCTGTGTCTGAATACTGAGCTCAGGCTTTCTCCTATTAAATCAGATCAGCTTGTTCTTTCTTGTGTTTATCAGCTATGTTACCTGCTTTTTTTCCTAAGGTCTGGCTGAAGTTATGGCTGGTTTGGGGGTAGAAAAGCTGGAGAAACTTATGCCGGAGATTGTAGCTACTGCCAGTAAAGTGGATATTGCTCCGCATGTACGAGATGGTTATATCATGATGTTCAACTACCTACCAATTACCTTTGGAGACAAGTTCACTCCCTATGTTGGTCCCATCATTCCTTGTATCCTTAAGGTACGTAGCAAAGGCTTGAAGTGTTTTTTATTAGAGGATAAAAAGAAGGCTCTAGAGTATTTTAGGCATCATTTACATCATTTACAGTAATTGTGAGACATGCAGAGACTTGTCCAGCTTTTCTGGACTATACAAAATATAAAAGAATGTAAATTATAAATTATTTCTTGTTCCAAGTTACTTGCTTGCTGTCTTTTGTTTGTAGTCACGGGTAATTTCTTTAAATTACCTTTGTGCATTCACAGCTCTGTAGTTCATTTACTTTTCATGGCTGAGAGAGAAAAAATCCTTTTGTTTTCCTCCCGTTGGTTTTGTATATTGTGCTGAGCCCACCCCCCAGCTTTCACAGACACTTTTCTCTCTCTGTTTCAGGCACTGGCAGACGAGAATGAGTTTGTGCGGGACACTGCCTTGCGCGCTGGCCAGAGAATCATAAGCATGTATGCCGAGACTGCCATTGCACTTCTCCTGCCACAGCTTGAGGATGGCCTGTTTGATGACTTGTGGAGGATAAGGTGAGGGATAACCATCTTATCCAGAGACATTTCTCTTCCATGGTTGGAAGACTGGTGTGATTTAGACTCTGTGTTGCTCCTCAAGCAAAGGCAGAGACCTCCTGGGAAGCAAAAGCAAGTCTCTCTTTTTGCTTGTTGATTTGAATATGATGCCTTATAGCACAGAGTCTGCAAAACCCTGCCAGCTGTGGATCAGGTTTCCTGGTACTTTCAAAGCATTCCTACTAGATTGTTAATTCTGGTAGTGACTCTGAAAAGCATTTCCAAGGCAGTTGATGTGGCAGTATTTAGCCCTCACATATTGTTTTTCATTTTTCAAAATGCTGAGTAAGTTATTGTTCTCCTGTGTATGGAAATGTGCAGTGGAGCACTCACAGCTAATAGCAATTGCTCAGAAATTAGTTGTACTAAAAGGCTCGTGTCAGCTGAGTGCTGATGAGTATGCTTATCCCAGGTGAATATCTTTTGGGTTGAGACAGATACTGGCAGTGTCTTGTTTCTTCTTAGAGTCCAGGCTATTCCCTGATTCATTGCTTTGATGCAGGAATTCTCTCAGCCCCTTCCAGTTTGGAATTAATTCCTTCCCTTTCTCTTTAGCATGCTTCTTCTCAGTCATGTAGTCAGACTGAGCTTACATATCAGCCCATGTGGCATTTCAGTGCTGACCTAGCTCTTTGCCTTGCATTTTGCTCACATCTGTATTTGACACACTGTCGTATTTGGACAGGTGCCGCCTGAATACCCTGTTTGTAACACTTCAGTTCCTCCTGTTGCCAGGTTTAGCTCAGTTCAGCTCCTGGGAGATCTTCTATTCCATATCTCAGGAGTCACTGGAAAAATGACCACAGAAACTGCCTCAGAGGATGACAACTTTGGAACAGCCCAGTCAAACAAGGTAAAGCTGTTCTTGTCTGATGTGCCTTTATTTATTTATTTTTTTAAAAATCAGCACGGAAAGCCTGCTAGAAAGTTGTATTGAATAATCACTTATTACCTTCTTTTTACAGGCTTCAGGAGTGGATAACACAATTTTGTTTCTATTTCTTTTCAGGCTATTATTAATGCTCTTGGTGTGGAGAGGAGGAACAGGGTGCTGGCAGGGCTGTACATGGGCCGCTCTGACACCCAGCTGGTAGTGCGTCAAGCCTCCTTACATGTCTGGAAGATTGTAGTCTCAAACACTCCTCGCACACTGCGTGAAATTTTGCCAACTCTCTTTGGGCTTCTGCTGAAATTCTTGGCCAGTACTTGTGCAGATAAGCGAACGGTGAGAAATTCAGTAATGCCTCCCTGTTACTGCAGGTGACCATGTAAACTAATTCCTGAAGAACACAGGATAATTCTTTTCTATAAATCACTCCAAAGCTGTCATTAACTGTTCTGAGCATGAGTATGTCCAAGTTCTCTCTTTGCTGAAGGCAACTGTGATGACAGTAAAACTATTCTTCTGTGGTTACTTACAATAGTAGTGTTTCCATTTCTACTACTCCTTCTATACTGTGAATGGTAGTTTATGGTCAAAAGTTAACATCTACTCACAGTTCACCTTCTTAAGTTTTATAAAACAGGAAAACAGTTAATGAATATAAATTTCTGTGGACAGGTTGCAGCACGGACATTAGGAGACCTTGTCCGAAAGTTAGGAGAGAAGATCCTTCCTGAAATCATTCCTATTCTGGAGGATGGACTGAGGTCAGACAAGAGTGACGAGAGGCAAGGAGTCTGCATTGGGTTGAGTGAGATAATGAAATCTACCAGCAGGGATGCGGTAAGCTAAATGTGGAAGGTGAAATCTCCAGTTTCCTAGATATATATGTTACGATGCAGGTATTGCAGTTGAGACAGAATAATACAGCTAGTGCTGGACTTGTTTTATGGACTGAATTCAGGGCTTATAACTAACATGAGTTGCTGTTCAGGCAAATGTATGTATTTGTATCTGGCAGTAAATTTAAAATGTTGCACAGTTCTGACTTCTATGAGATACAATAATAGAAATCATCCACTAGGTAGCCTTAGAGCACTGCAAGTATTTGTGTTGATTAATCCTGGTTTTCTTCCAACATATTTCAAGCAAACAGCAATTCAGTTTCAGTTGTTAGCTAGTTTGCTGAGATGCATGTGTCTGTTGTGCTTTAGATATTCTGTAATTTAATCTCTACATCTTTAGGTACTGCTTTTCTCGGAGTCCCTAGTTCCTACAGTGAGAAAAGCGCTGTGTGACCCTCTGGAAGAAGTCCGAGAGGCTGCAGCTAAAACGTTTGAACAGTTGCACTCAACAATTGGACATCAAGCTCTTGAAGATATCCTGCCATTTTTGCTGAAGCAGCTGGTGAGCATTGCTCAACATTAGTCAACAACTTGATTAATGATGTTGTGGGACAGGTTTTGAATAATCAGCTTAAAGGAGAAGCAGGACTGTAGTGGCAGACCTACCAGGTAATGGCACCTCTACTTTGTCTCCTCCATGGAGTCATCCTAGCCATCAGTAGGGAAGGTCTTGTGGCTAGTGCATAGGCCTAAGAATTGCTACATCTGGCTTGCTAGGGAATTGCCATTGTCACCTGCTTAAGCTGTTTGGCCACCATTCCTGATACGGAAAATCTTTCTGATGTGACAGAAAAGCTTGGTTTGTGTTTTTGCTATGTATTATGAAAGTATTTTTGGATAGGACTTGTGCGTTGGTTATATGATCACGTGGTAAACTGTCACTTGAAATAGGGTTTAGCTTGGTGTGTCACAAATCAGCTCTCAGGTTTGTAACTTTCTCTTTCCAAAAAAGATGGTCTTAAACAAGTTATGGCTGTCAAGAGCCGTGTGGTGCTGCCTTATTTGGTGCCAAAGGTACGGTTGGAAACAAATTTTAAACTTCAGAACTGTGCTTTTTCCTCTGCTTGCTGCCAGTTTTCTTTGGACCGATATGCCAAAAGGAAGAGCATAGTTGGAAATTTTCTTCTGATTTTATGCTCAAAACATTGTTGTTTGGGTTGTGATGCATTTATACTTAGAAATTTTTCATGTTGTATATGATTTGAGATTCCTTCTGAAAAAACTTGCTGCTTGTCTCTCTTTTTTTTTTTTTTTTTTTTTTTCTTTTAGCTGACTACTCCCCCCGTGAACACCCGGGTGCTAGCTTTCCTCTCATCAGTGGCAGGGGGGGCTCTGACACGGCACTTGAGTGTCATCCTGCCTGCTATGATGTCTGCGCTGAAAGAGAAGCTGGGGACCAGCGAAGAGCAGTTGGCAAGTAGCACGGCTCAGCTCTTTGTTATGACAGGTTGCCTGAAGATAGAGCTTTGGGTTTACTTCCCAGCACAGAATCTGTGTTCTCTAGATTCACAGATTGCGTGTTTTAATTCAGTCCATTAGCTTTTTCAGGATGAGCCTTTTTGCCTGGTGGTATATTGTGAGTTGAAAAAACGTATGCTTTCCAAATCTATTTGTATCCATGTAAAAGTCTCTTTGGCCTGCAACAAGATACAATTCTCAGTTTACTTATTCTTGGAGAACTGCCAGCGTGTCTAGTTAACTTGGTATTTATTCTTGGTATAGAAGACTGAGAGATTAAAGGGCTGAAGGAAGGAAATCTCCTGTTTTGCATGCAGCACTCCTTCTGTACTGCTTCCTGAATCATCTGGTATTTGGACTCCAGAGAACATCCTGGAGTTGTGATTGCAGACAGACATGTACATAAGTTGGTGGATTAGGGGTGTTAGTGGCAGAGTCCTGTTGTCTGTCTGCTGTAGATGCCCATTAGCTCAGCTTCTAGCTCCAAGTCTGCCTGGAGATCTCTAATGTACCCACAGACATGCTTGTAATTAGTATTATGATGCACAGCATTAAACTACTTAGATCAAAAAAATGTTATTTGACAAGGCCCACGGTCTCTGAGGGGTGAGGAAGATGGGGAGACTGAGCTGCTCTAATTTCTATAAATTAGTCCTTTGGCAGCTGGAGAGTGACCTGTGCTGCAATCAGTTCAACAGTTTGGTCACTTGTTAAATTTTGAGAGTTGATTATATACCTGTCTCTGCTCCTGGACTGAATCGAGGCTTCAATGGTGATGTGACCAGCCATTTAATACAAAATTATTAGCAAGTGGGATATGTTGTGGTATTTCTCTAAAATATAATGCTGTGAATAACATGGAGAAACCTGGGGCTAAATCTGGCTTTGTTCTATTTAAGAGTTAACCTAAAATTAATTTGGACTCTCTAGGAGATGGCAAACTGCCAGTCTGTAATCCTGTCAGTGGAGGATGACGCTGGACAGAGAATCATAACTGAAGATTTACTAGAAGCTACCCGCAGCCCTGAGCTGGGAATGAGACAGGCAGCAGCTGTCATTCTGAATATCTACTGTTCCAAGACAAAAGCAGACTATACTGGTCATCTCAAGAGCTTGGTTTCAGGCTTGATACGTCTGTTTAACGATACCAACCCTGTAGTTTTGAATGAAAGCTGGGATGCGCTTAATTCCATCACCAAGGTGAGAGGCAGCTGAAAAAGGTTGCAGTGGTAATGCCTGGCAAGAAGATGGGGGTAGCTGGTAAAATACTGCCTAATTGGAACCTTCTGTTTTGATTGTAAACTACATTTACCTTTGAAATGCTGCAAAGATTTGAGGGTTGTAAGATGAGCTTGACTTCAGCATTGTGAGCTGGTAGTCGGGTCTTTGGAGGAGGCAGGAAATGGGTGTCTTCTTCTGACACACCTGAGAGGAATTCACAAGGAATAGCTGGTTGCCACGTTGGCCTCATCTTTGTCTTGCCCTTCTCTCCTGCAGAAATTAGATGCTGGGAACCAGCTTGCTCTCATTGAGGACCTGCACAAGGATATACGGATTGTAGGGAACGAGGCCAAAGGCGAGCATGTGCCGGGGTTCTGTATTCCTAAGAAGGTAAAGGATCAGAATCAGCATGGATTCATCACAGCCGTAACACCCACCTTTTGGGGGAACTGATTGATAGGACTTTACAGCTATTAGAAGCAGTGACCATTGGGGCATTCCAAACCTGTCTGTTGGAGAGACTTTTTGTAGATTACTGCTGCTCTTGAGTTACCCGACAGAAGCCTCCTCTTGTAATGAGATCTTTGACAGTTCTGTTAAGCATATAAGTCATGGTCGCTGGCTGCTTTTTGTGGGGGAGTAAAGCTGGACTTCTGTGCCAAATTTCTCTGGTTTAAAAATTCCCTGAGCCACCATCTCTTTTCTCATAGCAGCTGGCTTAGTAAGGCGTAGATGTGTGAAACCAAACCAAATAAAAGTAGCTCTGTACATGTGGAAGCAAGCAGCTGAAGGTCAACAGGAAATTGAGAGAAACTTGCAGAGTTTGTGCATCTGGTGTGCAACAGGAACAAAAATAAGATAGGTCCTTTTTGCATCTTCACTTCTAAGCTTTCTTATCCGATTTTCATGATAGGGAGTGACTTCCATACTCGTGGTGCTGCGGGAAGGTGTTTTAACTGGTAATCCAGAGCAGAAGGAGGAGGCAGCAAAGGCCTTAGGGCTAGTTATTAAGCTGACTTCTGCTGAAGCTCTTAAACCATCTGTGGTGAGCATTACTGGGCCGCTTATTCGGATCCTGGGAGATCGGTTCAGCTGGAATGTCAAGGTGGCTCTGCTGGAAACCTTAAGCCTTCTTTTAGCCAAGGTAAGATTCAAAGTAATTTGACTGTGGTTTGTGAACGTTTTCCATGGTAACCTTCAGTGCTTGCTGTTTTTATTCATCTAAGTATAGCTAGGATGTCTGCTGGTGTGGATTTGATGTTTAGGAATGGCACTGTAACTGGATTGTATTCTTCCAGCAACTTCTGGCCTACCAAAAAAGCTCCCAGTGCTTCAATTTCTGGACCTCACAGAAATATTGCTAAATGCTGATAACACTTTCAAATGATTACAAACTACCATGTAATTATTTTCTCTCCTGTGTCCACCATTTTTGTGAAATGTTAAGTCCAAAGATGATCATCTTATGTATTTGAACTGAGCTGAGCTTTTATTTAGTGCTTGGTATGCAAAAGACTGTTCATGATGGTGTTACCCTTGTATTTCAGTACACAGAAAATAAGATTAGATTTGAAAGGGGTAAAAGTTGCCTGGTAAAATACTGTTTCATGTTTTTCCTATTTTAATAGCGTGTTAGATCTGAACAAGGGCTATTTGTGGTAACTAACTGCTGCAGAACAGGTCGTGCTGTCTTCAGGCTTTGATTTCTAGCTGCTGTTTCAGACTTGACTGCACCACTTCTTTAATCTCTGGGACAGGTTGAGATTGCCCTGAAACCGTTTTTGCCCCAATTGCAAACAACCTTCACCAAAGCTCTACAAGACTCAAACCGTGCTGTTCGCCTTAAAGCTGCCGATGCTCTTGGTAAACTCATCGTCATCCATGTAAAAGTGGATCCTCTCTTCACGGAGCTACTGAACGGAATTCGTTCCAGTGATGACTCTGCCATCAGGTAAGCTGTAGGTGATAACTCAGACCTTCTTGCTTATTAAGGATGACAGAAAGGGCTAGGATGAACGAACAAAATTGTTATAGCTATCTGTGTAGAATTTCCACCTCCCCCCCCTCCCCGATTCTGAGACTAAGGTTTACTTATTAGTGAAAGCAGCTTGACTTAATCAAGGGTTGTAAAACAAAGAATGTGGATGATGGAGACTTCCTGGGTCAGAAGCTAAGCTGTGACAGTGTATCAGGGGAAGCACAGGTCGGTATCTGCCCAGGCGTCTCTCCCGCACATCCCCCAGTGACCCGCTGCAGCCTGCTCTCAGACACAGGACTGTATCTGTTGTCAGTCTGACCTGAAGTAATGCAGCTGATCCTGTATCCTAGGTGCACAGATCCCTAAGAAATTAACTTCCTCATTTGAGATTTTTTTTTAATGCTTGAATAGTCAGGAAACATTTATGTTGTAACAGACAGACACAAGTACACAAACACTGGAAATACTTTCTAGCATGGAGTTTTCAGCAGTGCAGAGAACCAGTCTCCCAAACTGTAGTGTAATTGCTGCGTAAGAAACTGTTACAGGTATCCAGAGCTCAGTTTCTTCTTTAGGGTGTGGGGAGAGGCAGTGTCTGACTGTAGGTTGTGATCACTTCTAGGGACACAATGCTGCAAGCTCTGCGGTTTGTCACACGAGGAGCTGGTGCAAAAGTTGATGCTGCAATTAGGAAGAACATCAGCACGGTGCTTCTAGGGATGCTGGGACACGATGAGGTACAGCTTCAGCCAGCTGCAAAGGATCCCTGCTGTAGACAGGCTTATTCTTAAATTTAAAATCTGAACTTCCTCCAAGTATTTTCTAAAATAACTTCTGCGGGAAATTACTAACGTTAGAGTGGAAAGAAACTTACATAAAGCAGCAAGTGGTTGGGCATTGCTCGCTAAACTGAGTACGGTCTGTAAAATCAATCTCGTCGGAGCCCTGTAGTGTGTTAGCTGAGACTTGGGTGCAAGAATTGGAGATCCCCAGCCAATTGCTGGTAACTGAAAATCTGCCAGTTTAATGTTTCCTTAGCAACCGTGCCTGTGGGTTTGACCTGCAGCGCCTCACCAACGTGTTTGAGGCAGCTCTGAAGTCAGGATTTGCTTTTTGTCTTGGAGAAAACCTGCAATACCTTCAGTATACGTACATGTGTGTGTTCGTAGGCTCTGCGGTGGGGGTTATCATTTAGTGTGAGAAATTTTTCAGATAATGGCAGATTTTTCTCCAACGAGCAAGAAGCTCTCCAAGTTTAATATAGGGTCTCCTGTATATGGCAGATAAACAACAGTATCATCTGTGAGATTAAAATTAATTTCTTCCTTATGAGTTAATCTGTGCAACATAGACATGCACCTGTTGGCATGCTAGAAATAGACGAATTGAAAAATTCCCACTGGATTGTAAGTATTGGGGTGGAGAGGAGGAGTGATGCGATGGTCACATGAGCGAGCCAGAGCAACAAAAGCCTGGAAGTTTCAATTAAAAATAGTATGAGTTTATTCCAGAGATAAGATCATCTGGAGATGGCTAGAAGTAATGCTTACTTTCTAGACTGTGAATCTAAACTTAACTCTTAACGCGCCTTTTAAAACATTCACTTTCATCTTTATGAGTTTTCCATTTAACAAATCAGAATTTACATAAGGTCTGTGATTCTTCAGCCTCTGCTGGCTTTTTTGACCGTGGATTTGGCTTTAAGTTCCATTATGTACAAGAAACCTCGTGAAGTGACAGAAATCCCCAGGCAGTAGGAAATAAATATTAGCAGTATTTCACTTTTTATTTCATATCATCTTCTGTCACTTGTTCTTCTTGCTCCTTATCTCTGATGTGGAGTGAGCTCAGCTGGTGTTACTCTTCTCTTCCTCTCCTCGTTAGGATGCCACCCGCATGGCCTCAGCGGGCTGCTTAGCCGAGCTGTGCGCATTTCTGTCGGAAGAGGAGCTTGGTGCTGTTCTCCACCAGCACTTACTGGGTAGGTGAAGCTGTTTACGGTGACCGGAACTGATTCTGTAAGCCGGGGAAGATACCTTTGTAGCCACTGGTTCAGGCAAACTTTGCAACTAATTATTTAGGTTCTTCCTTTTTATCTGAAGCTCTACTCTAGATTTTCTCGTGCTTTTCTTTGCTCGGGGCTGTTCATTTGAACCCCTGGTACACAGCTGAGCACAGCGTGGTGGTTGTAATTTGGGGTTACCCATACTTTTTTTTCTTCCTGGATTTGTTTTTAGGGGAGTTGATCACACCAGGATGGGAGGTGGCAGGGTGCTCAGGCAGGGTGGACGGGAGGGCCATTCTACCTGTTTAGATGACACCGTGACCTTAGATTGGCTTATGCTAATTGCAGACCACATCTGATGGCTTCAGATGCTTTTGGAGAATTAAGTAATTTGCCTCTAAGATAGAAAAACCCACGAGTTTTATAGGAACTCAGAGAGGTTGGGAGTGCTATGGGATTCCTCTCCTCTGTGGGATTAAAAAAGGAATCTGTTAGCTGGTTGCAAATTACAGATAATTTTTACAATTTTATTAGAGAGTCAGAGCTTGTGTGATTCCGATGCCAAGCTCCTTCATGCACTAAGTGATGCGGGCCTGACAACGTGTGACTGAGACAGTCAGAAATAGCTGGGTTGAACAATACAGAGCCACTTCTTTGTGTTGGGTTTCCGTGTCGGCCCAGGAGGTGTTCCCATCTGGTAGAGGTGTTGTGGTTTAGCACCGTTCCTATGGCGCTGTGGGCGGAATGGAGGAAGCAAGGCATTGCTTTAGATCCTGCTTTCATTTTATGGAAGCAAATTGACACGCTGACAAGAGCTTTCTTAGATGAAGAATGGACAGCAGGAGCCTCGCTATTGTTCTGTTCTTTCATTTGCAGCAGACGTCTCTGGCATTGACTGGATGGTGAGACACGGGCGAAGCCTGGCGCTCTCTGTGGCTGTGAGTGTTGCTCCTAGCAGGCTGTGCTCCCCCAAGTACTACAGCAGCGTTCAGGAGATGATCCTCAGCAATGCCACTGCTGACAGGGTGAGTGCTACGTGAGGGCGGGCGAGTTCTCTTGCAAGGCCTCGGTGGGTGCTTTAAAAGGTGCGCAGGTTCGCTGTGTTACCAAATGGAACGGAACAAAAATCCCTGCGCGCCATCTGAAGATCCTCCCTTGGCTCGATGCAGTTCATAGTGAAATGACGTGGACTGTTCCGATTCTTTGAGTTCTGATCTCTGTGGACATGAAGATTATTTAATCTTCAGCTGCAGAGCAGCTTTCATTGGGAATAACTCACATTGCTGTTGCCCTGTTAAAAGTTCTCATTCATGGGCCAGGTTTACAAGAAGTGCAAATACTGCGTTTTAGGAGTTTAGGGTTGAACGAGTAATTACTGGGGGTGCTGGGGGGCCTGGCTACCTTATTCCATGTGGCTCATGGTCATGTTGATTTTTTTCATCATATTGCCCAAGAACATTAACCCAATGTTTCCCTGCTTTGCGTGCTACAGTTTTTTGAAAAATCCATTTAGGCTTCTGCAAAGCTCCCCAGTCCATGAGACTGTAAGCCTGGTGATAAAAAGCTTATCAGCTTGAACAGCTTGAACTCTGCTGTAATAATCCTCATTTTTGTCTTTATGTGGAAGATTCCTATTGCAGTTAGTGGCATCAGAGGGATGGGCTTTCTTATGAAATACCACATGGAAGGAGGAGGGAACCTGCCTCCAAAACTTTCCAACCTCTTTATTAAGGTAAGAGTTTTTATGAGAACGACCTGGGGTAGTGTTCTCCTGTGATCCCACTGTGTGTGAGCTCACGGGTGGCTTTCTGTCAGATTTCTGTATGGTAACCCAGCAGGGGAGCGAAAAGCTCGGTTGCCTTATCTAGGGAAGCTCTAAATCCCCTGATCCTTGACAATCTAGGTGTGTCTTTTTGTGGCAAAGTACAGACAGGATCAGTTCATCAGCCTGCTTCGCAGTTGTGAATACAATGCTGCTACCCCTGCTGTAATATGGAAATTTGACTTTTGATCTTTGTGTGGTAAACTTCAGGTTTGATTCTTACATTTTTTCCTTTGCAGTAACAAACAGCTGGCAGAGAAGGGGGGTGGGGTAGGAGTTGTCAGTTTTTTAAGGCTGCTAAAGGTCAAAGGGCCTTTGTTAGAAATGCATCAAACACCCGCTCTTACCTTACCTGGTTTTGCTGCAGTACTTCTTGACTTCCACTTTTGTGGGAGTAGCTCCAAAAGACCGAGATAAAGAGACTATTGAAGTTAACCCTTTTTAAAATTCCTATCTATTTAAATATTCTACCTCAAAATTCCTTTCTTTCTTGGTTGTTCTGGTTTTTTGGTGTGGGTTTTTGTTTTTTTTTTTTTTTTCTCCCCACAGAAGTATCCGTCATGATAGACAGAATCTGACTTTTGAACTTTAGAACCTCAGGTGTTTTTAACGTCTTAGAAAAGAGGGGAAGATAAAGTGCTTTTTATTTTGCCTGTCACCTTTATTGTAAATAAAATGTGTTAGATTTTCAGGTTTTACATTTCTTTTCAATTTACTTGAAAAAACGACCAGACATGCAAGTTGATGTGATGCAGGCCAGCATTCTTCAAAGCACTTTTGTTTTAAATCCTACATTTATATATTTGTATCGTAGTATTGTATTAAAACATGAGTAATACAAGGGTCACAATACCTTTATCACAGTATTGGTAACGCAGTTGACATTCAGATGTTAGCTTTCACATTTTAAATGCGTTGAGATGAAATAAAAACCATAAAGCTCTAATTCTTTTTTTTTATTTTAAAATGAAATACACTGTTGAAATGCGCCTTACACTCCAACCAGAGATTGGCTTGGCTATTGCCGATGACTGAGTGTATTTTACAGAGGCGCTGACGCTATCAGCTATTGCTGCACTTAGTGGTCATTGTCATTTCCTGAGACTTTTGAAAGAGGCGTGTGACCCTGTTGTCAACCACATTTTTAGAAGTTTTCTTTTGAAAAGGTGTCTTGTTTTCAAGGTTTGGCTTTCTCTTACTGTTACACAGTTTAGTCACACTTGCTGATAACAAGTTTGTCTCTTGTGTACCTGGGAGTTGAAAAGTGCTTGCTTTTGTTATAGTTTACTTAGATTAGAAAAAAAGATAAACTACCGCTTTAAATACCTGTCCTTGGTCTATCTGGATTTAAGTCCATCTTTCTCTCCCTCAGTGTCTTCAGAACTCATCCAGTGACATAAAGTTAGTTGCAGAAAAGATGATCTGGTGGGCAAATAAAAACCATCTTCCCTCACTGGATCCTCAGACAATTAAACCGATTCTCAAAGCGCTTCTGGACAACACAAAGGACAAAAACACCAGCGTAAGAGCCTATAGCGACCAAGCTATTGTCAATCTTCTGAAGATGAGAGCGGGTGAAGAAGTGCTGGAGGTATGAGACAGAAGAAAATATAACTGTTGGTAGAAGGCAGTGTCCCGTTGCTCTGTGTATGGTGAGGTGGGGTGCCTGGAGCCTCAGAACGTGCTGGCTTATGACATAGATAAAGTGGCCCTCATCAGTATTCTTATGCTAAGCCTTAAAGAAATAAGCGGTACGGATACTGTACCACCTTACAGCGCAGTGTTACTGACATCAAGGTATTTAACGCACCTCCCATGTTTAACCTGGTAGCCTTGCTTTCCAAATGCTGTAAGCCCTTCCTGTGCTGTGCTTACCTCAGCTAGGACTGTGAGTTTCCTGCTTTCGTCACTCGTATAATCCTACTGCAGCATCAGCGGTGCTCGAGAGAGTATTTTAGGGTGGACTACTTCGTACATCCGTTTCCAGCCCTCTTTCCTAAATCTTAGCTGCTTTTGGATAGTTCCCATGTCTGGAATCATAAAAGCAGATGAAGGATTTTGATATGTTTGAAAGATAAATACAGCTTGTAAGGCACTTAGGTTTATTCTTAGTTTGAATGGTATGTCATAAGGAATTGGTAAGTGGTGTTGTCTTCCTTCCACAGTCGGTTTCCAAGATTCTAGATGCTGCCAGCTTGGAGCTCCTCAACGAAAGCTGCAGGAGATCTCTGAAGAAGCTGGCTGGCCAGGCTGACTCTGATGAACAGATAGATGACACTATACTGACGTGATGACAACGCTCTAGACGACAAGGAAACACTGATCCAACCGCTGCATCAGCATTTCAACTCAAACACCTATTTTAAATGTTTTCATTTTTGAAAATGTTAATTCTGACGGGATTTCATGAAAAGGACTCCCAGAGAGTATTTTAGTATCAAATATACCAGAATAGCCTTAATTAGACCCACTATAGCTGAAAATTGAAAATTTGGTCCCCTTTTTTGAAACAGATAATGCGCAAGAAACAGATATACTAATCAATACTGGTAAATTGTGGCCCATTGTGAGATGTGGCTCTAGAGCACATCAGGCTTAAACTCTGGTGACACCTATTTCCTTTCCAGGGTCTGTGCAAAAGCTCCAGTACTGGAAGCGGTGTTGGTCTTTTCCACCGGCCCTGTGAAGCAGGAATAGAACTTGGTGAAAGTTAAAGCGTATTGTTTTTGTGTACTGCTAACTTGCTGCTTGTGACGGTCCTGAAGACTGAAAATCCCTGTAAAACAAAGTATTTAAAATAGCCTTAGAAATCACAAATGCGAAAGGGGGATTAAATGCAGTCTGTTTAAAGGAGGAACATTTAATAAAGGCTCTGACTTTGATCCTTCTGGTGTAAACTGCTCTTTTTACAAATTCATTTGTCAACAAACTTACACTGTGATTTACTTTTTTGGCCTGCTTTTTCTAGGGTGTTGAGTTTTGTAGAGTGTTACCTGTAACTATCTTATAAAATATAATCCATAAAAACCTTTTGCAAAACTGAGGCAAGCTGCGGTTAAGCCAGAACTGACATTTAATGACATTTGTAAGTAATTACTCCTATTAATTTCCAAAGTATTTTGACTACAGATGGCTTCAAAGGCTTCACAAGATACTCGGCACTTCCAACATACAGATTATTTTTTTTTTTTGTCAATGAGTTGTACTGTTCCAAGAAAGCAGTATTTTATTTACCTGGCCACATATACCTCTTTTTAAAAATTTTATTTTAATTTACTAATACCTTTTATGCCACTTGAGAGGAAATAGTGAAAATTTTGTTGCAGAATACAACCTAAGACAGGCTCAGCTCCAACTGAACCATTCCTAACTGATTTCCATATAATTTGTTTTTTTATAGCATTGTATGATGGGAGATTCCATAACCTCCCTATGCCATCTATTTCATTACATAAACTTTTCAGACTGTCAGAGCTCACAGTATCTAAAAAAAAAAATCCCATAATCTTCCTTGCTGCTACTTGAGTCCATTGCTGCTTGTCCTATTCCCGCAGATGTTGAAAACTGTTCGTTTTTCCAGCAACCGCATTGTCACGTCAGTGGTCTCACCCCTAGATGAAACAAGTTCAGATTTTGTAAGTCTCTTCTCATAGATTTTCATGGTTTCTAAACTTACACTGCTGCCCTCCGTATTTGTTCCATTCTGATTCCTATTTGCCTTGTGGCATCCACTGCTGGACCAGGTCTTCTAGGGGAGAATGTTCCTTTGCCAGCCCTACACAACGCGCCGTTATCCATCCCTGCACAAGCTCTGGGCGTTCTTTTTTTGCAACAGAACAGCGTTGACGTGTTTAGTTTGTGATCAGCTATGAAGCCAAACTACAAGCTCTTTGGCTGTTTATTTCCAGTCTTGTTATTTATGCAGTTGGCTCTATCTACAAAACTGCTGTGCTTTCCAGTTGCTCTTACTGAAATTGTATTCTACTTATTTCATGACATTTATCTGCATTGTGAAGGTGGCTTTTAATTCTGATTTTTGCCTTCCAAAATATTTGCAAATCTTAAACCACCTTAAAACTATGTATTTTGCACTGAATTGATAATAATCAAAGAGTGAAAACTCAACTAAATGCTCTTAAGGATTTGGCAGTCTCAAGGCACTGGAGTTAGTTTCACCTATAATGAATTAGCTGTGTTATGGGGTAACAGGAACAGCTGCTAAACCACGCAGTGCAAAAACTTCTGTGCACGGAAATGTACAAAATTTTACACCATTCAAAACCTACTAAATAGGTGGCAAAAAGCTCAGTGGCTGTATTGGAATGAGTCACTTGATCAGTGCAGACAGGAAAGAAGAAAAAAATGGCAAGTTTCTCTGAAGAATGGCTGTTTGAGCTCTCGATCATGGGCACCTTGGCTTGCCTATTTTCTCTCTCATTCTAATTGATTCTCCACATAAACGTGAACAAAATTATAGTTAAATAGAAGCCTTTTCTATTAACTTGCTAATTTTAGCCAATAAGATTTTTTGTTATTAAGGGTATTTTGATGATTTGTATTTCCACCTTATACAGCAGCAAGTGGAAGAACTCGCCCATCTTTCCAAACAGCAGCTGAATTTCTGCACTCAGTTCAGTTGTTTCTGAGGGAGGAGTAAAAGGCAGGAGCTCACTTGCACTTACTGAGAATATGCTGATTTTTCAATTACAGCGAAACGCTGAATTTGGATTTTGATAGCTACTTTTCTCTAAACTATTTATACACTGCAATATAATACAGCAGAGATAAAATACCTTAATTTTTGCCACGAGACCTGATAAATTGATTGTGCCAACTTGGAGACTAAAGAATTAATTTTTTTCTCATTTCAAATGTCTTAAAAATACCAGTTGTCAGTAAAAGATAATTTTTCTCCACAACTGACTGTAATAACGTCTTTGAACTGTCAAGCAACTGTCTCTGAGTGACAGCTGAACTGTGTGTATTTCGCAAAGATCAAAAAATAATTTATGAGAGATGTTTAAACTTACAAGGTGCTAAAAATTTCAATGGAAAAGAGACAAATGTGAAAGCATAAAATATTCAAATATTTTGATTTTTTTTTTTGATAAGTCACAGTTTGTACTGTCCGCTTTATTAGGTCTCATGAGACGTCACACCGTCTCACGCTTTTCACATGATGAAGTTTCATGAGCTTAAAAATAAAGGCAATAGGAGTCATTGTCGTTTTGGGTTTGAGCTGGTGGTTTGTACGCTGGATTCATGGGATCTCTCTGCAGCCACACAGCCTCCTTAGTTTCACTGCTGCTCGGTGCATGTGTTGGGTTGTATGATGGGCTGCCCAAGAGCTTTACTGGGGTGGGTGTTAATGTGGTGGGGGTTGCTTTAGCACTGGGCTAGGTGTGGGCTAGCTGCAGACCCTTTTCTAGCAGGGTTTCTGTGAGCATAAGTCTGTTAAATAACACACGCTCATGTCTGGTACCACTCCAGCCTTTCTCCTGCTCCTCAACTACATTTTACGGAAACACAGAATGAGCTATTAGGGTGTGGTGGTTTAAATATACAAGTTGCAGAGTGAATGTGAGACAGAGGTCATCTAAGTGGATTTCAGGATGTGTAGGACTTGACAAGGGTGAGCTCTGAAGGCTAGAATACTTTCTTGAAAGTTGTGATTAAGGAAGGTTTATAATTAAAAACACAGACATAAGCCATATTGTTGATCAGAAGTATTTAAAAGATACAACTTTATGTGCTTTAAAAAAAAAATCTTCAACCCAGACATGCTATTTTAGCTGTATTGGGTTGGTTTGTTTCCAGATAAATTGCATACAAATTGGACAAATATAACTGTGGAACCATACCTCAATATCCTATGGAGAATAAATAGGAAATGAGAATTGGTGAGAGATAATTGCCTTAAAAAGTATTCTTCTTAACCAAACCCTATAGTATAAATCCAGAGAAAAGAGTCTACAGCTTTTGAGGTAATGTTAAGGGAAAAAGCAATACTACTAAAACTCGTCTGTCGTTCTCTAAGAAAACATTCAGAGAGTACAGCACAGCTGCAGCTGGAAGGTGCTTCAGCCAGTCCAACCCCTGTGCTCAAAGCATAGCCAGGCAGAGTGGTCCAGGTAGGTTGGACTCCACAACCTCCCAGCGCAACATGTTCTGCTGCGCGAACACCCTCATGATGTTACCAACACCGTTTGCAGTGGTGATGTTCCATAGATTTCAGTCTTTTACTTGTGCTTGGGTCCTACCAAAAAGATCCTCAAAGTAGGTGCATCCTACTCTGTAAGCATCTTTGGAACAATTAATTAGATTGTAATTATGAAAAGCATTATGGATTGGTATTTTCAAGTTAACTGTCCTTGATTTCTGTCATCTTTCCTTTGCCTTTCCTTATAGGCTCAGTGGACTGCAAACGTCTTGTGTTCTTCCGTGCTAATACAGCTCTCCCCATTTGAAAGATAAGTGCATGTTAATGAGATACTGCTATCAATGAACTGTAAACGTTAAAATTAAAAAAAAAAAACAACCCTAGTTTAATTAGATAATGTCAGTATTTTGGTTTGAAGCTTGCTAAACTAAAATTACATTGAAGATAGACTCAACACCTAGCACGTTGGCTTTTGTTATTGTGTTTTTATGTATGTATTGAAAAACCTTAGTAACTGGAAAAGGAAGTCCTTAATAATTCACGTGTTCTACACCAAAACACTGCATTGATCACAGGAGTTCAAGCACCAGCAAGATTTTTTTCTGTAGAAAAAATAATCAAAGCGGAAAAACACCACTCCTCTTATGCCGTTTCCCACCTAAAAGTGGAGATCACCTAAAAAGTGATCTAAGTCTTGCAGAATTTGTGTAGTCAGTATCTGTGCAACTAATAGCAAAATTACTCAGGCTGTGTGTGTGTGTGAGACAACTGGGAAAGAACTTCTTGAAACTCTGTGGGTTTGGGCTGTGGATGGTGCAGGCACTGCTGCTTGTGTGAGGTCAAGGCCCTGCCTGAGCCACACACAGGCACATCTCTGGATTAAAAACCCCAGGAATCTAATTCCAGACTGGCCTGAATTGTCAGGCCTAAATGACGCACTTGGGCATTTCACCACTTTGCTGTGGGCTTCCTCACCTGCAGGTTGGGCTCTGATGGGAACTGTTCTTGTAGCTGTGCGACTGCTGTGCTCTGCACAGGCGTCTTGCTGAAGAAGCAAACCACGTTCCTAGCCACTGCGGTCTGCTCCTGTGCCTTCCCGGGAGTAGAGCTGAGACTGCCTGAAAGCGCTGGGGCTCCCTCACGCCTTTGGTGCTTTCCTGGGGGCGGCCTCCTCTTCTGCTACGTCCGTAGGCCTCATCCGAGCACCTACGGGAGCCGAGGTGGGCACACCGCTGTCTGCCGGAGGCGGCC